CTCAATCTTTCTCTGACTCCTGTTTGGAAATAAAAGGCTAAAGGTTTTTTGAAATTTTCAGTGCATGTCTGTGTGAGATAAAAGGACAAGAGCTGTTGAAGCTCTGCCCTCTGTGCTGGAGTAGCAGCTTATTTAGACACCAAAACGGTGTGTTTTTGCTCACCCTCAATTTTAACATGATATATAAAAATATTTTGGGGGTATTTTGAGCTAAAACTTCACATAAACACTCTGGGATATCAAATACTTATTTTACATCTTGGGAAAAGGGCATTATACCACCCCTTTAATGTAAATGTTTTAGATTTTTTATTTTCTAATTTAGTACTGTGTTGGGTCTCCTCTTAATATAAATGTAAACTTAAGTTTAGTTTTCATTTCTGGGTCCAGTTGAGAAACTTTGGTTTAGGATGTCTAATGACAGAAATGTACATTTATGTGCTTATCTTTAAGGTGGAAGTTTTCATCAATGGTATTCCATCACGGTGCAAAGGGGACTGTGGTTTCACCTGGAGTGAGCAAAAGACCCCAACAGTGACTGGGATCTCGCCTACTGAAGGTAAAGAAGAGTATCAAGTATCACATAAAAGCTGTCACCTCCATTCACAGTGGTTTATGTTACTGACATAACTTGTCTTTCAGGATCCAGCAGTCTGGGAACAATTCTTACCATAACTGGATCTGGTTTTGATGGTGGAAACGTCACTGTAAAGATTGGAGATGTGGAGTGCTCTGTTCTACAGCTTACTAGTAAGTCAAAACTCAGTACTGTCCTAAAGTTTTTTTTTTTTTTTTGCTCACATACTGTACACCCAAAGTGCGCACACCGAGAGCTGCATTTCTAACAGCACACAAACACAGAATTGTCTCCTTTTCACGTGTCCTTGGGCTTGGATGGATACATGCACGAAATATAATGTCAAAATATTAGGGTTGCCCCCTAATAATCAACTAAACGTTAGTCATCGAAAAGAAGATTAGTTGAGGAAAATTCCCTGTTTGTTTTGCTTGTTTGGCCTAGTTTCCCAGTGTGTATGATTTATGATCCCGTTCACCTGTTGTCTCATTAATTATCTCATTAGCTATTTTGTTTGCTGTGTATTTAAGTCGTTAGTTTGAGTGTACAAATGTGACGTAATGATGCAAATACATGCTCGAATTTCCCGTGGAAATCCACTAGTACACTGGAATAAAAAACATTATTACAAGTTGGCTGGTTATGTACTTTCTCAAATATGTATTTTCAAAAAAATCTATGGACTGCAGCTTTAATGAAATGTAAATCCTCTCTGCAGTGTGGCCTTTCTTGAGTTGTTTATGTTTTTCTTAGTTTTATTGATCCAAAATGTTTTTATACATTTTCTTCTATCTTTATGGGATGTTCTGTACATCGCGGCTTTAAAATGCGCGTTTACAGGCATATGCACTGAAACGGCGTGCTGAAAACAGAGCTGGTTTTGACCAGGTGAAATTAGTGTTTTCTTACAATACAAATGAAAATTTGTAATTACCGGTAAAGTATATTACAAACGTTTAATTTAGACCCTAAATAATCAAATTAACTTGAATGAAAATGGCATTACTGTATATGACCCCTTTAAATCATTATTCATAAAGTTTAGGAGAGTACATTTTTACAGAACTTTTTTTTTTTTTATATACTATTCATGCAAATATCAAATTATTTATTTGTATTTCAGATACTTCTATAACCTGCCAGGTCGGTCCTGCAAGTGCAGGTGTACAGCCGGTCTCTCTGAGTTTCTCTGTGCTGGGAAATGCCCAATACCAATATAATAACAGCTTGTTCACACATCTGTTAGGAGTGACTTCCATAAACCCCACAACAGGAAGCGTAGCAGGTACATTACAATTCTCTACATAAAGTATAGTGTAAAATAAATATATTTACTGAAGTATTTGATGCTTGCATATGTCTTTCATACATATCATACATTGGGCAAAAATGTCTAGCACCACTAGGAAAATGCTTCTATTTCATATTTTGAAAATGAGAAATTTTGTTAATTGAAAATTATATCAGTAGAACAATTTTAATGACAAGCTGAACTGACACATTTATTTTTAAAATAGTGTTTGTTGTGTCCAAAACCTGCTTACCTATGTTTTTTTTTTTTTTTTGTATGGCTTCACAGGAGGGACGATTCTGACAGTGTCAGGCTATGGATTCAGGAATGATACTGCAGTCACCATTGGCACTCAGCCATGTAACATTATAGAAGTGGAACTTTTCCAGCTGAGATGCACAGTTCCTGTTGTAAGTATAAATATTGTTTTATTAGTATTAACAGAACCCCTAAGGGCAAATTCACAAAAAAGTTGTACCACTTTAAATGGAATGTCATTTTTTTTTTAAATGTGCATCCTCATAATGCCCCACTTGGCACTCAGAGCTGACTTGAAAGATGTGAGTTGTCACATGTGAATTGTGTTTCATAAATGGAATTAGCATCTTTCCTTTGGTAAATCCCATACTGAAACAAGACAGCACATCCAATAAATATCATAGTGGGCACAATGCAATCTTAGGGAATTTCCCCCTTAATGTACTTTATGCTGTACACAATACTGAATCCATGGAATTTTTATTCATGAATCTTGTGTATGACATCAATCAGGGGTCGGAAGGTGAATGGAGTGTAACAGTGACCACGGCAGAGATGACAGAAATATCAAATGCCTCTTTCACGTATAGCAGCGCTCTGACGGCCTTAATCACATCTCTGAGCCCACAAACTACACCAGTATTTGGTAAGATATTAATATTTATAAATTTTGTAGACTCTCTAAACCCAATTCAGGGTAGTAATGTTTAACAGTCCATTTATTTCCTGGGAATTTAACCTATGACATAAAAACGTTAAAGAAGCCTGGCCCTTTTTATTAGACATTACATTAGACACAGACCATGACACTGACAAGTACCCTGAATTGCTTTAGATGTTCAAATATGTTTTTCAATACCTATTCATCTTGTCAAAATTGGTGCCCTATAAGCTACAGTAGTTGGCCTTGTTCTATGTTTGCAAACAGTCAACAACTGATTGTGTTCCGATCTGAGATTAGAGCTGTAATCCGATACTCTGTCTCTTCCCTTTATTCGAAAGAATGCCGTGTAGTGAATAAGAATAGCTAAGCTTGTGGTAATGGTAAGACTTTATTTCAACAGTCTCCTTATCACTACAGTAGCTATATGTAACATATGTAACAACTATAATATGCATAAAACGTTTTTTACAGGGTTATATATATATATATATATATATATATATATATATATAAATTTATCAACTCAATAAAAAATTATATATTCTAATTTATTCTATCGTTTCATAACATGTCATTAACATTTAGAGCATACAGGTTCATGACATAATTTGTATTTATTAATTGTCTTTTTTACAGTTTCATATATGTCCCCTCCCCCAAACCCACACACACAGCCATTCCAACCTATAAGTAATGAATTCAAATCTTTCCATATTCAAATAAACACTTCTTAGCATCTATTCTTAGAGAGACATAATAATAAAGATGAAAGTCAAAGGGATACAAACAAACAAACAAACAGGTAGAATCACATTCAAGTGTGTCTTTCCATCCCATTGTTCTGATCTGCTTTTTCATCTTGGCTACAGCAGTAAACCTTCAATAGGCCTCCAGACAAACTGCAATTAAAAGTTTTTTTTTTGTGCATGCCAGATAATTCCACTGGTTTTAGCTGATGTCACGCAATCAGAAAAGCCGGTTTGTCTGCAGTGAAGGACAATCAACAATGTGATGTTTTATAAAAAAGGACCTGTCTATAACACTGAAATCTGCTCTAAAAACTCAAATAATCACAGTCTTGTATCTGACTTCCTCATTGATCTCATTCCTCACAATCTTACAGGAACAGTGATTAATTTGATCCTGTTTTTACTGATCTTTTTTGATAAAGGGCACAGGATTCTCACCATCTTGGGCACAAATTTTGAGGCGCAGGCTAATGGCAGCTCTGTTTTGATTGGTGAAGCTGAGTGTGAATTGCTGCATTGGACCAATGAAAACATCACCTGCCTGTTACCCACACTTCCCCCAGCTGTGTACAATGTCCGTGTGAGAGTCGGAAACCAGGGTTACACCTTAACCAGGTCTCATATCACTTACTATACTCCATAACATGAGATTTCAAACTGTTTTTGAAATTGCATTTACAGTGACATTTAATCATAAGTGAAATTTTTAAAAGTGATTAAATGTTTTTGTGTGTATGTTTGCAGTGCTGGCCTTAATACCACCATAAAGTATGTTCTAGAGGTCACAAGTTTTTCTCCATCTCTGGGGTCTTTGTATGGCGGAACCACCATCACTGTCACCGGCTCCGGGTTCAGCCCTGTCACAGCAGACAATAACGTCACTCTAGGTAAGACAAGACTACAATGGACAAAAGTATATATCAACATTCTTTAAAATATTCCCCATGTTTAAAACTACCTTGAAATACTTTGATTTAGTCTTTGATGTTTAACAGGGTATTACTCAAACCAGTCGTTTCCAGATCATTCAGTACTGTAGTCACATTGTGCGTTTTGTACAGGTGACACACAATGCCGAGTGACAGCCGTTTCAGATCATCAACTTGAGTGTGTGACCCAGTCTAGAGATAAAACACACACCGTGACGAACCAAGGCTTCCACCCCGGTAATATCTCTTTACTTTTATCTCTTTTTCTGTCACGCACACAATACCTGAAAACATCAGAGACAATGAAACAATGGCTGTCAGCGCATTGATACAGACTTATCAAGTACACTAGAGCAAAAAAAAACCCCAAAAAACATGGTATCCCATAGCACTGTTTGAGCGGGATAATTTCTTTCTTTTTGTCTTTTCTTGTTAAGCTGTATTTAAACCCACAAAGTATCCACACTGGCAGAATTCAGTGAAATCCTTTGTAGTTTTCCTGAAGAAAGCATCATTCACAAAGCATCATATTACTAGTTGTGCTGATATGACATTTCTGTTACCTATTTGACTATTCCGAAGAATTTCACCAACCACTCCAAACCAAAATAAATAGTGTTCCAACCAGTCACCGACATGGTTTTGTTGATAGACACTGACTTCTTCTTCAGCTCCAACTTCACGTGCACAAAACCTCACAACACCCCCACCCTGTCGGTGATTGGTTGGAACACTATTTATTTTGGTTTTGAGTGGTTGATGAAACTAATTGTATTTGTGTGCAGATCTCAGAGCCTAGGCTGCCTACAAAGATGCATTTTTTTTTTTTTGATGACCTGCTTATGGGGTGGGCACCTAGCAGATTGTTTGGAAAGATTAGATGAATGTGATCATTTATGTTTAATAAATCGCTGATACAACCTTTAATACTTGCTGTAGTATTATTTATTGCTCATTAATATACAGTATTTAAGTAATACTAACAAATGAGACCTAATTGTAAAGTGTTACAGACAAATAAATTATGGAAATTAATACAATTTTAAAATGCAATGGAAAATGCTGGAGATTAAAATCATAATTCAATGGAAAAGTGATAGAAATGAATAAAATCTCAAAATATTATAAGGGATAAAAAAAATAAAATCCTAAAGTAATGGAAATCGCATTAAAATAAAATGTTAAAAGGTCATGAAAAAATTTAACAAGGAAATTAACAAATGGAAATCATGGAGATTTTTACAGTCCAAATAAGTGTTCTAATTATGCAGTGTAATTTTTTTTTTGTTTTTTTTTGTTTTTGGTTGATATCAATGAAATATTGTCAGAAATATTTTGTGTTTGACAAAATGTGCTTGTTTGCCCACTTGTCCAGTGTATGGTCAGGGTTACGCCTGGAGTCCCTCTGCGATAATAGCCTCAGTGGGGGACACAGTGGTTTGGCGTTGGGACGCTCCAGCTTTTGTGCCTGGTCTGAGCTACAGGGTCTTCAGTGTGTCCAGTCCCAGCAGCACAGACTATGATGGCATTGCTTTCAGCAGTGGAGACACAGGAACTGCCAAAGGTACAAAAACTACTATCAGACAACCTGTGTGTTAAACCTGCTCATTCTAATTTACATCAAGCAGACAAACAACTACATAAACTGTTTGTGAGAACAACATTTGCCTTAACACTATTTTGAGAACCAATCCTTACTTAAAACTTTACATTTTCTAGTCTAATTCTTATGAAGAGATCCTATCTAACTAGAGGAATCAAAAAACACAAATCATGAATATTAATGTGTAAATAATTAGATGGTGTTCATAAATATGCAATGTAATTCATAAATATAATTTAAATATAAATACAAGATATTTGCAAGATATCTTTATGGAAAAGTGTTGTTTTGTTATTTTTGTTTATTTTATTTGTCAGTCTAAAGTTATTTTCCTAAACACAAATTAGTTGCCTAAAGGCACTATCCTATCTTCTGTATAGTTACTTTGTAATAAATTATCTATACAAATAGATTTAAGTTGAATTACTAATTTGCGATTCTACACAGGAAAGATCAACAGTATGGGATAAACTATTTGAATATTTTTTTTTACCTTTTAAGCTGTTTCTTACTTTTACTTTTAATGGTTTCCAGCTTGAATTTTTTTATGTTTTGTGCTAAATTAACATTATTTCATCTCATAGTACAATATATTGGCTCTGAAACAGTGTAAGTGGCTTTTGATCTCTCTGATCTTTGTGACATTGTGTGATGTGTGGAAATGTGATTAAACACCCCTAATCCAGACAAGCATTTGGTTTGTGAGAGTGTCAGATTTCATGAAGAATAAACTCAAGGTCTCAAATTAACTATAAATACAACATTACACTCCAGTCATTGAGCAGGAAACAATGTATGTTGCTATATCGCTAGACAAACATAACAAGTGCTTTTGCCGTAAATGTAAGTAGTTATTCCTGTAAAGTACAATGAAAGCTGGAGGTGTGACGCTAGTTTGATTGAGGATGAACAAAATGTGATCTTGTTGTGTCTGTTTTATTATTAGGGTTTTTCGCCTATCGTTTCACCTCTCCTGGAGTTTACTACTACAGCAGCGGTTACATCGACTCTGGCAACCAGAAGACGCTGCAGGGAGTAGTGACTGTTATGCCTCGGGAGAAAAGCACGGTGGGGCTTCAGGTGTTTGTGACAGGAATACAGGCCTCTATTAATATAGGTACAATGACAACCTATATTCATTAAGTAATTTAACTCAACATTACATTCAGATTTTCACATTTCAGCATAAGCTGAAATTTTGGGTAAAAAATTGGAAGGTAAAATCGTCCTAATTGTCATTTGTTTCTCCCCAGATGCAGGACAAATGAACTCATCTGACTTTGAGTGTATGACCACTTTAGACTGTTTTCAAGATCAGCTGGAATTGAACGAGACCTCAGATAGTCACTACTTCAGTTTTATTTCTTGTGCCAGCCCCATTGTGTACCACATTACACCTGACTATGGTACCACACATGACATCATCAACATCAATGGATCTGGCTTTAGCAACATTAACTGTGCAAACGAGGTGAGCTGGATTTTTTGGAATGTCCCAAAGACGTCAGACGTCACTGAAATACAATGCACCAAAATGTGCATGTATTGTGGCTATACACAAAAAAAACCCCAGATACACACATATAAATTCATATAAATTGACTTTATCCTCAAAAAAATAAAAAATCACAAATCACAAATTTTACCCATTATATTTATTCACCATCAAATCCAATTCTTGAAACTTTTTTTAATTTCTCTAACAAATCATATTGATTCAAACATGCTTTAAATTTAATTAAAATCTTTTTCTATATCCTTCATTTTATGTATCTTTCTAACTAAAAAAAATACTTTAAAAACTTTAATAAAGATTTTGAGTGTGATCACCCCATATTATCAAAAAATAATTCAATGGTTATATTCAAATAGCTAAATTAAATTTACTTGAGAAGTAACAATGCGTAAGATTTATGCCAGGAAGGGGTACCAAGTGAACATGTCATCCACTTGTCATCTGAAGGTACTGCGCAGGGAGCGTTAGGGTTAGCAAAGAGACGCAGTGTTTCGTTCCTCAGGGAACCAGGGATCAGAGACTCAGACTGGCGCCGTATTCAAGATCTGAATGTGGTCAAGCGCGCCTTAATTTTAATAGATAATGTAGATAGTCCTATCTATAATCAATAGAAAATTAAACTGAACATATAAATAAATTGATAGTCCTGCTGCACAGGTTTTCGTAATTATTGCAGATAGTATAACAAATAAATAATTATTGATAGGCCTATACTTGTTAAAGGGCTTTGTGTTTTATTTATTAGAAAAAAAGAATTAAAACAAATTGAATTAATAAATAAATAATAATATTGACGCACATGCGTCAGTGTTTAAAATCTGCTGCAGTCGATGGAAGCAGTCAGTCTAGAATGTCTAGAATGTGCCAGTCGTTAACTGTGTCCCCATCTGCAATCAGTGGCTTAATCCTCCGTTACGAACTCTAAAAGTACATTTTGGAATTAGCAATGGAGGCATGGGATTAGATGCATAAGAGATTAGTAGTAACACTTTACAATATGGGTGCATTAATACTAACACACAGGTAATACTGAATTAATGTGTAACTAATGATTAATTAAGCTATTCATCAATGATTACCGCATAAGGAACTAATTAAGAGTCTGTAAGGTTAATGTATTAGTTCATACAATGAATTGTTAGTAATTAAATATGTAATTGTGGATTCATTCCATAATAACTCATTTTTTTAACTAGTGTTAATTAATATGTTAATTACCAGAATGAGCCAAAGCCTTGTATTTCAACTTCCAGATAATATGACATGTACACTAATATGCATTAATACATGATTAATTTGTTAATTGTTAGTGCAAATTCATGTGCAAATTACTATTATTACTAAATGACTAGTTAATAATGATGTGCCTCAACAAGTAAAGTCATAACATAATGATACCTTTGCAAATCATTAGCTAATGATTAACTAAAGCAGACAACTGGAAGTTGAAGTGCATAGCTTTGACTAATTGTGGTAATTAACTCATTAATTTACACTATTAGTTAATAAAATATGTTAATACACAATGACACATTGAATTAATAGCAATTCATGTATAATTAATCTATTAATCATATAGACTCTTTATTAGTTGCTGATGCAGTAATCATTATTAATGGTTCTTTATGAGTTATACATTAACTCATGATTATCTGTGCATTAGTTAAGTATGAATTAATGAATATTAGTACCCATATTGTAAAGTGTTACCAGATTAGTCCTACATACAAGAGCATTTTAATGACAAAAACTTTACAAACGTCTTGAAATACATCATCTGAATAATGATTAGAGATGTGGTAACTGTAGTATAAGCGGAATAATTAACTCCAGGCCATTGAATTATTAGAAAAATAATAAAATAATGCTTTGCGTCGTGACCGCATTATTACCTCGGGTGTAAATTATTTTTCTAATAATTCAATGGCCTGTCATCAAGTATTCTTTACTTAATTTTATTTGTTTTAAGGATGTTTAGATATTGTTAAACATATTATTTTAAAACAAAAGATTAACTTTGGAAAATGAATGAACTAAAGTTAATCAGAGATGGGCTCATCTGTTTCTGTTTTGCCAAAAAATCCATTATATACAATTTATTGAATGAAATATCATGGCAGTATTCACTGTAAAATTCATTGTAATTCACTTACTTTTGGGCAGCATTGCAAAAAGTGGGAAAAAAATGTCTTTATTTTTTTGCCAACCAAAGGTCAAAGTTGGAGATCGTCCATGCAAGTTAATCAGAGATGGGCTCATCTGTTTCTGTTTTGCCAAAAAAATCCATTATATACAGTTTATTGAATGAAATATCATGACAGTATTCACTGTAAAATTCATTGTAATTCACTTACTTTTGGGCAGCATTGCAAAAAGTGGGAAAAAAATGTCTTTATTTTTTTGCCAACCAAAGGTCAAAGTTGGAGATCGTCCATGCAACGTTATCAACAGCACCTCCACTGAGATTAACTGCCAACTCAGTCCTGACAGCGGAGCACCAGTGGGAATCCCTTTATCCATAAGTGTCAGAATCAACAACCTTGGCACCGCCATCCTTTTGATGCCGAAAGAGTATGACCGCAGATTTGTAGTTCTACCCGTGGTCGATTCTGTCTTTCCCTTGGTGGGAAGCACCACAGGCTACACACGACTCTTCATCTCTGGTTCTGGGTTCTCGGACGGCTTAGTTACGGTAGCAGGCAATCCATGCAAAGTGGTTTTCATGAACTACACCCAAGTGGTGTGCGATACTTCTCCATCTGCGGCCCGCAGGGGAAACGTCGCCGTTTACGTCAACTCCATCTCTTCCTCATGCAGTTTTGATTGCACGTTTCAATATTCCGACTCCATTGCACCGTACGTATCCGCGGTGTCCCCTAACTCGGTTACTGGAAACGCCACCACCGTTGAGGTCACTGGCAGTGGATTTGGGAACAACTCTGCTGATCTAATGGTAACTGTGGCCAACATCCTGCTGGAAGTCACAAATGTAACTGATAACAACATCACGGTTTTAGTAGGTGCGCTTCCCGCTGGCACGCACGTCCTACAGGTGGTGGTCATGAGAAAAGGTCTTGCCACTGGAGACGCCACCCTGACCAGCATAGCTCAAGCCAGCGTCAACCCAACATCAGGCAGCATTGCTGGAGGAACTTCACTCTTGATCACAGGAAATGGCTTTGTGGCAGGAAATACAACCGTGAAGCTCGCTAACTCCCCCTGCAGGATTTTAGATGTGACTCCAGACACAGCGAGGTGCATGACACCTCCTCATGCAGAGGGACAGGTGCAGGTGAACATTAAGGTGTTTGATGTTGTGTATCCACCTCAACGTTTCAACTACTCTAGGGGACAAACTCCAAACATCACCTCTGTCAGTCCTATAACAGGTACGAACATGCATAACATTATATAATATATATATATAATATGTGGCATTTACTATGGACTGCTGCAGTGATTACGTATTTTTGTAGGCCAACCCAAAAGTTAACATCGCCCTTTATCCCTTGACAGAAAGGATTTTTCCATTGGGTTTTGAATTATTGGATAAAATAAACTCAGTATCCAACAAAAGTTTGGTATGAGTAACTTTAATTTAAAGTCTAAATGCAGAGGTAAAAAGCTAAAAGTGGGTTATAAATGATTGCATAACTTCAGCATCACCACCATTAAGCTTTTGAATTTTCTTATTATAAAACATTGTCGATGAGTTTACCTGTTCAGCGAGATGTTTAATGTCTGTCTGTCCCACTTTTTAAGGACCTGTCCCACCTGTATCAAGACTAGCTTGAAAAAAATCACAAGGGGGTATTTACTGATGTATTTTATGTTGTAGAATAAAAAATTAAATATCTTCAGATTTTGTTAACCACAGACCTTATTTCAAACTTTTAAACAAAAGCCCATAAAAAAAAACAGTGACTTCAGGATGATACGATCAGAAGTGCTAAAAATTAATTTCCTGGTATTGGCCAACACAAATACGTCATCTCCGCAGCACTCTACTGAACTATTGAATATACCAAACGCTTCATTGTAATACAACAGACGTAATCCCTTCCTCGCAGGTTCGGGTGGAACAGAGATCACCGTCTCTGGCTCTGGCTTTGGCACAGATGTAGCACTCGTCTCCTTCGAGATCGGCGGTGTGTCTTGTAACGTGACATCCATCACAGATATGCAGTTGCTGTGCACTGTTGGAGAACACGCAGGAGGAACTTTCCCAGTCATTTTTCACCATCAGGTCAAAGGTCATGCCTTGACCCAGTCTGTCTTCACCTATGAGCTGCTGCTGACAGGGGTCAGACCGAATGAGGGTAATCAAAAACACTTTCTCTAGGGCAAAGGATTTGTCAATAAGGACAGAATATAACAAAACTGACTGGCAAAGTTTCAAACCTTTTGTAAAATTTCAGCGGACTTAGAAGGAAATTTGCCTAGTTAATTGAAAATGAATTATTTTTAACTCTTTAATTAAAAAAAAAAACTATTTTTTAAAGAAGTAATTATTCAGTAATTCAATTTTTCATGGCAATTTCACCTTCTCTGACCATTAAAATTTGTCCAAAAATAAAAAATAAATATTGTAAAGTATTATTCTCATTTAAAATAACTATTTTAATATGTATTTTAAAATATTATAATAATATTTTAAAACAAAACTTGAATTTTCAATTGAATATTTTGAGTATTAGTCCAGTGAAATATTGGCTGCCAGGAGCATAAAAAAACAACAGATTTTCAAAACACAAAACCAACTAAATACACACACACACACACACACACACACACACACACACACACACACACACACACACACACACACACACACACACACACACACACACACACACACACACACACACACACACACATATATATATATATATTAGGGCTGTGCAAAAGTTAATTGCGATTAATCGCATCCAAAATAAAAGTCTGTGTTTACATAATATATTTGTGTGTGCAGTATATAATTATTTTGTATATATAAATACACACACATGCATGTATATATTTAAGAAAATATGTTATTCATATATAAAATATTTATATTTATATAATATAGATTATGTATTTATAAATATATACAGAATTTAAGCACAAATAATTCTTAAATATATACATGCATGCATAGGTATTTATATATACAAAATAATTATATACAGCACACACAAATATATTATGTAAACACAGACTTTTATTTTGGATGCGATTAATCGCAATTAACTTTTGCACAGCCCTAATATATATATATATATATATATATATATAAATATATCATAATAATGGTTATATCATTGTTTGATTTAGGGACACCTTTGTTATGTTCAATAAAATATTTGAGCCCTGAAGCAAAACTAGATGGGAACCACGTCTTTCCATACTTACTGTCATATTCACACACAATTACAGATTAATAAAATACTACAGGATACCTAATTTGCTCTGTTTGGCTGTAGGAAGTTACGCCGGAGGAGCTGTTGTTGCCATTCAAGGCTCTGGATTTGACCCAAACATCACGAGAGTCCTTATCTGTAACAGAGAGTGTAACGTGCACCTGCAGAACTCCACATCTACCCAGCTGAACTGCGAGGTCCCACCCAACAATGGCATGTATCAGTTTAAAAGCATTGCATGCGTGTCTAGACGTGTTCAGTTAGCATAACAAAGCTTAATCCATCAAATTAAGTATGTCAATGAACATGTCCAAATATTTGCAAAACATGCCAGGAATGCATGGAACTGAAAGACATCAGTCACTGAGAGACAAATGTGATTAGAAAACAAGTCACAGATGAATAAAACTGAAATAAAGAGTAAGAGTCTGCCTGCTTGTATCTTAATGAATGCTTTTGTCTCTTGCAGGAAGTGAAGCAGAGCGGGCCTGCACAGTCATAGTGATGAATGGAGGTGACACCGCCAACCTCACGAACAGCTACACTTACAGATCCTCTCTGACCCCTGTTATCACCACCGTTTCACCACGCAGAGGGGGAACCGCTGGAGGCACCAGACTCACGATTACCGGTTCAGGTTTCAGGTGCAGAACAAACCGGATTTACATTGTGGCTGATTGTTCTCCAATCATGCTTGGATACAGTGTTCATTGTTTACTTCAGCATTATTATTTCTAAATATAACATTGCTGTGTTGCACAGCCATTAGCAGTTTTATTTTAGTATTATTTTATACTTTAAATTATTATAATTTTATTCATATTTTGAAGTGGCTTTTATTTGTAAAATTTTCATTTTTTACTTAGTTTAACTGTTTAGTGTTTTTATTTAAAGGGTTAGTTCACTCAGAAAGAAAGACTTTAGTTCATCTTCTGAACTCAAATTAAGGTATTATAAATGAAATCTGAAATATGTCTGTCCCTCCAGTAAAAGTCACCGTAAACTCTTGACTCCTCAATCATTCATAAAGAGATCATAAAATAAATCCATATGAAACGAGCAGTTTAATCCAAGTCTTCTGAAGAGATGCGATCGCTTTATGATGAACTTTATTATATTTATATACATTTTTTGCTTATTATATCATCGCTTTATTCACGAACATACAACAATGGAAGCTCAAGCATGCTTGTTTGATATCCTTGATTTTTTTTTTTTTTACGTTTTAATTTTAGTTAATTACAAAAACCCTGGTCAATACAAGTAATTTTTTTATCTATGTTTAAAAAAAGAATTAAACAATAACCAAAACAAAAATTTACTCATAATGTATTCAACCTCATGTCATTCCGAACCTTTAACACAAAAAGGCATTAAGCTTAATATCAGAGCAGCTATTCACAAACATTCACTTTCATTGTTGACAAGGGTGATGTCAATTACAAAAGTAGACCATGCAATTTGTACACTATATCTCAAATCTACTAAAGCCTATTGTGGATGAAGAATGGATGACAGAATAATTTTTACTTTCTCAAGTTCACAGGCTTTTGTCTTCCCCATCTCACGTGTAGCTCAAATGTCAATGAAGTCACTGTCACAATCGCAGGGTCTGTCTGCGATGTTCAGTCAGCCAATGAATCGCAAATCATCTGTGTGACCAACTCTCAGCCCAGATCCCAAGAAACTCAAGTGCGAATACAGCTGGGCAACAGAGGAATTGCCAGAATGGTAACGTCAAACGTGTCATAAATATATTTGACCTTTTTAAACAGCACAGTGACAAACTAAATTTATTTAGAATTTATTCTCATTATATATATTATTAAATAACAACCATAATAAAGTTTAATTATTACATTTATAGGGATTATTTACATATACACTCATTGTCAGAAGTGTCTCCTCTCTCTCAGAATAATGCTACCTTCTTCTACATTGATGTATGGTCATCTCCCTATACATGGGGTGGTCTCTCCCCTCCCGAGGAGGGCATGTTTGCAGTAATCACTCCTGGCCAGACCATCCTTCTGGATACCAGCACTCCAGTTCTTAAGATGCTCCTTATCCAGGGTATGCTCTGTTTAGACAAATGCTGCCTTTAATAAACAAAGCCTTGGTACACTTACACTCACAGTTACTGAATGTGAATGTCTTTTTTCCTATTTAGGTGGGCGACTGATTTTTGATGAGGCAGATATTGAGCTGCAGGCAGAGAATATTCTGATCACAGATGGTGGAGCGCTGCAGATCGGAACAGAGCAGGCCCCCTTCCAGCACAAGGCCATAATCACACTGCATGGACACCTGCGTTCTACAGAACTTCCTGTCTATGGCACCAAGACCCTGGCTGTCAGAGAAGGGGTGTTGGATCTGCATGGTATGCAAATAAACAACACTATTCGGTTCAAATTAACTTTTTAGTGCATTCAAACAATTAAAATGTCCACTCACCTAAAGGATTATTAGGAACACCTGTTCAATTTCTCATTATAGCAATTCAATCAAGACAATCTCCTGAACTCCAAACTGAATGTCAGAATGGGAAAGAAAGGTGATTTAAGCAATTTTGAGTGTGGCATGGTTGTTGGTGCCAGATTAGCCAGTCTGAGTAATTCACAGTCTGCTCAGCTACTAGGATTTTCACGCACAACCATTTCTAGGGTTTAAAAGAATGGTGTAAAAAGGGAAAAACATCCAGTATGCGGCAGTCCTGAGGACGAAAATGCCAATGTTGATGCTAGAGGTCAGAGGAGATTGGGCTTTGTCACGGGTTGCTGAGAGAGAGAACTCTAGAAGGCGAAAATCAGGAATAATAGTCTTCAATAGAAACAAGGGTGTGTGTGTGTGTGTATATATACATATGCTATGTAAGCAAGTATACATAACCTCTTTTTTATGACTAACGGACAAGTTTTTCTGGTCATAAGAAGAATATCACCAATCCGTTACAGACTAAATGGATAAGTCGTGGGCCGTCGGATCCTTGTTCCTGCCGGGCTATTCAGAGGTTGTTTATGTAGATCAGTTCAGTGTAGCTTCGTGTGTTATTCATTTGTTTACGTTTATTTTTTACATTTTTTGTATTCTATTTTCGTGAGGTATTAACTTTCATTAGAGCTAAAAATGTGATGTGGTATTTAATGTGGTGCATATCAACTCCCCTCAGCGTCAGTGCTTACTAATGGTATCATCTCCCTCCCATTTGTACTAGAAAGGGGCACCCAGCAGGGAGACCCTCTCTGTCCTCTACTTTTTGCATTGGCACTTGAATTAGCGAACTAGCGGTTGCTATCCGTGAATAACCTGCATATCCAGGTATACAAATCGGTGACAAATTGATGATGAATGCAGACCATGTCCTTTTGTTTGTCTCAGTTCCCGAACATTCTCTTGCATCACTATTTAAAATCATTGACATATTCTCATTCGGGCTATAAAGTCAACTGGACAAAATCTGAGGCTCTTCCTCTCACAACATATTGTCCCAAATCCCTCTTCCAGTCAGGCACTTTTGTCTGCCCTAAGAAAGGCATTAGATATCTTGGTTTAACATTCCCGCCCATATTGACGGATCTAATTAAAACAATATTTGAACCCCTACTGGACAAACTGCGGGCTGATATAGAGCAGTCTCCATTGTATCTCTATATGTGGGGCAAGGCAAACATCATTAAAATTTGTGATTTGTGCTCTGAAATTCAACTACTTGCTCAAAAACACAGCATTATACTAGAAAACATGACTGATAGATACATTTTGATAGATTAAGGTACCTATATTTAGGCAAGGCTGTAACTCAAGGGCTAGGTGCATCATGGTCTTTTTGTTTGTTTTTGTTAATTTTTTTATTAGCTATTATTTTCTAAATTATATTTAGACTTTAGTTTTTGTCAATGTTGTGCTATGTGTTCCTGTCATTATGTTTTGTTGTATGAGTACTGGTTCATTTTTCAGTTGTTTTTCAGTTCATATAATGCCACCACTTGGCCAATCACAACAAGTTTTTTCATGTGACCAAAGATTGGGTTTCAGTCGTTTTAGTAAAAGTGGCCCCTCCCACTTCAAACATTTTGGTGCCCCTTAGCGACAATGAATCGAGATTTAGACTGACATTCAGACTCCAGAGAATATTTCTGTATTGATTTGGTTGTGATTGTGCGAAAAAAATAGGACTTGTTCGCAAAAGGTTTTCAACTAAAATTAAGAGTTATGAGCAGTTTCACATTTTTGATCACTGTAGCGCCCCCCTATTGGACAATCGGGGTCACCCCTTGTAAGTATTGGCCCAAATTGAAACCTACCATCTGGCCAAGTTTCAAGTGTCAAGGCCTTACAGTTTGTTCAGTTTGTTCTGAACAACTAGTTTTATTGCGGAATAATAATAATAACAATCCTTAAAAATTACAATAGGGTCTCAGCAATTACAATAAGGTTTGAACCCCAATAAGAAATGTTGCTGTTGTTATATGTACATGAACATATTAGTACATATACAGTATGTGTATGTGTGTGTGTGTCTGTGTGTTTTGTAAAGTTTGAATATGCAGACTAAGTGAGAATGAAATTAGAGAGCCTGTTTTCCAGTGAACACACTAAAATATTCTTATTTATCCTACAATTTTAAACAATAGAGTAAATATGAAAGAACCTGAAAAATGTATAATCATAAACATTAGACAGATGTACACTACCTGAAACTATAATTTTTTATTATTATTCTTTATTTATTTATTTTTTCCAGTACATCTGCATCTAAAGGTCACTATAGTCAGAAACACAATACCTACAAAATGAAGTAATCCTCACAAATAAAGAGATGACCTACATAACATTCCTTGAAGGCTCAGTTAATTCAGAAAGCCCCTTTGGTGGGCTTCACAAAAGTGCTAAATTTCCCTGATACAGACACCATAGTGCGTAATCACTTCCCTGCAGTGAGAGGTTTTGTTCAGGGCTTAACTACAATCCTACTTCTCCAGGAATCCCTGTCCCTATGCCGTGGACTCGCCTTTCTCAGACTGCACAAAACGGCGCCAACACGCTGACACTGATGGATGCTGTCACCTGGAAGACTGGCGACGAAATTGTCATCGCTTCCACTGGGCATAGGTATTGATGCAGAAGAAAACTAAGAAAACTACAAATTTGACTTGCTTTATGGCAAGTGTTACAAGTGCTGATAGCTGGAGCGTACTCAACAGTAGACGACAACTACACTTTCATAAAATCATAATTCATACTCTACCTTGTCTGTGGCCATTGTTGATTCCAAAGCTGGTGCTGGATATCCATGCTGGATAGAGCATGCGCGTGTGTGTGCGAAAATAGGCTGCGGTAGGCTAAATTATTTACAACAGCAGTAATGGACAATTCTGCTTCCAACCTGTAGGGCGACCGCAGAGGAAAAGTTCCTTGGTGTTTCTTTAATTTTTTGCTCAAATTGAATATGTTAAATGCTATAACAATATGCTAATAATGATGCTAAAATAAATAAATTGCTAATGCTCATATGTTTTGACTGAATTCACAGACACAGTCAGCGTGAGAATGAGTTGATGAGAATTGCCTCGGTTTCAGCTGACGGTAGGACCCTCACTCTGACCGAACCACTGAGATACACTCATCTGGGTGTGTCTGTCACACTGCCTGATGGGACAGTTTTTGAAGCGACAGCAGAGGTGGGCCTTCTTACCAGAAACATCGTTGTCCGTGGATCCAACAACATGGAGTGGAACGATCAGATTGAAGCTTGTCCTGATGGATTCAACACAGGTTTGGATGTTATTTCCTCAGGTGTGGATGGAAAGACAAACAGCTAAAAGACCTTTTTTCAAATTATATGAATTCTTTTGCTTACAGGGGAATTTGCCACCCAGACTTGTTTCCAGGGTAGGTTTGGAGAAGAAGTAGGAAGTGACCAGTTTGGTGGCTGCATCATGTTCCACGCACCACAACCAAACCAAAATTTGGCAATTGGCAGAATTGAATATGTCGAGGTAAATGTTGATTTATTAAAAAAATGTGTTTCAAAACTCTTGGAGACCTTCAAGAATAAATATGTTCCTTGAAATTTAATTATGGCATTACATTTGACATTGTCTTCCTTCAGCTCTTCAATGTTGGACAGGCGTTCCGTCTGGGACGCTACCCAATCCACTGGCATCTAATGGGTGATGTTAAGTATAAGTCATACGTGCGTGGATGTGGCATTCACCAGTCCTACAACCGTGCCATCACCATCCACAACACCCACAACCTGCTGGTGGAACGTAATGTCATCTACAATATCATGGGTGGAGCCTTCTTTATTGAGGATGGCATTGAGACCGGCAACATTCTACAGTACAATCTGGCGATATTTGTAAAACAGAGCACCAGTCTGCTAAATGATGATGTTACTCCAGCGGCATACTGGGTCACCAACCCTAATAACATCATTAGGCACAATGCCGCGGCAGGTGGGACACATTTTGGCTTCTGGTACCGCATGCATGATAATCCAGATGGCGCTTCTTATGATCCCAACATCTGTCAGAAGAGAGTTCCACTAGGAGAGTTCTTCAACAATACGGTGCATTCACAGGGCTGGTTTGGCTTGTGGATTTTCCAAGAGTTTTTCCCAATGCGTACTGGCAGCTGCTGGTCCTCTACACCAGCGCCAGCGGTTTTCCGCCGCTTCACTTCCTGGAACAACGAGAAAGGTGCCGAGTGGGTGAACGTAGGAGCGGTTCAGTTCAGCGAGTTCCTAATGGTCAATAATGAGAAGGCAGGAGTGGAAGCCAAGAGGATCATCCAGCAGTATGTCAGCGGATGGGGACTGAATGGAGGAGCGGCCGTGGTCAACAGCACTATGGTGGGTCATGTGGATGAGCTGGGGCTGGGGAGCGACTACTGCACCGCTCGTGGCGTTGTCCTGCCCCTGGATGATGGTATGAGCGTCATCAACACCAAGTTTGTGAACTTCGATCGTCCATCGTGTGCTGCTGTCGGAGTGGCAGAAATAGTTGGAACCTGCATGTTCCGCTGTGGAGGCTGGAGCGCGAGGTTCAGTGGGATCCAGTTTCATCAGTCGCCCAACAAGGCCTGGTTCAGATGGGAGCATGAGGTGGCACTAGTAGATACTGATGGGTCCCTGACAGGTATAGAAACATTAGATATTACATGAAAAAAAAACTTTTATCTGTGTAACAATATCTTAATGGATACATAGCTTTATTGGCATGGTAAAACTGAAACTTTACATTGAAAAAGCATTGGTACTGTTGCGTTTAAACCCCCAAAACAAAAATAATGAAAATAAATATTTTATATTTCTGAAAAGGGAACGCTAGCTACAAGGTGGTACCAAGGAATAACCTGCTCGACCCGAGACACTGCTTTCCGGGAACAGAGTGGAGTGTTGGCGTCCCTGCTGCAGTGTGTGACAACACTATTGACTTCCACCGCATGGTCGTCTTCAATCCCTCACCGCCTTCACTTCGAGCTAAAGATGTGATTCTGACCAACTCATATGGTATGAGAAAATAATGTCTATGGTTAAAATTAAGTGTTATTTGATGTGTTTTGCTCAATATTAATATAGGGGGAGATCTGTTACTATTTAATGTTCTATTATTTTATTTTGGAAAGTTTTTTATTTTACCATTGTACTGAAGAGTAGAGCCTGTGGTTCAGTTGACGATTGGCCGTGTATCAGGAAGACTGTAATTACTATGGGCTATGTGCACAAGCGTAGTTTCGAACTTCCGCTTTTGTCAGAAGTCGGCATTCCGGTCTACGACTGGTCATCCGCAACCACTTTTAAACAAACAAGATGAGTGCTGCTGTTGTACGAAAAAAAGAGTTCTTAAACACATCTAAGTTTCTGAGAACTGTAGGTGGATCTAACGTCCGTTTCACACCTGTTTGCAGTGTGTGTTGCGGTGCAGGAGCGTGCTGTTAGTGTGTTCACATATTATGATGCGTTTCCAGTGAATAACTGATCCGCGGCTGTACATCAAACACGTACTTATTTTTTTTGCGCGTCGCCCAAAATGTCTATTTTTACGCTGGTGGTCAAATGATAAAGACTGACCTGAAAATGTAGTAATTTCACCATAAACGCGTTTAATTAAATAAAATGTAGTAATCTCACCATAAATGCACATTTAATCAGGGAAAACTACAATTTACTTCAACCAGGCGACAGAATGAACAACACTCGTCTCAATCGTGGAGGTGGAAAAACAAGTTGTTTGTGACATGCAAGATCTATTGTTTAAAATTAAAATGCAAAAGAAAAGGCAAGTTGGCTGATTGTCAATTTCAAGTTTTATTTTAAATTATTTGCGATTTTAATATAGTAAATATTTGACCACTTGCTTGAGCAACTAATAAGTAATGCATGGAGTAATAGCCCAACTTACATTGTTTAAATTGTGTTTAAACGTGCATACAAAGAATCGCAATGCTGACACAACTTTTTGTTTTTAAAATTAAGTTGCAGCATAATTTCTGGACTTTAAATAAAAATATTAAGTATGTGTTTGTTGCACAGCCGCGGATCAGTTATTCACTACAAACGCATCATAATCCCATCATAATATGTGAACGTACTAACAGCACGCTCCTGCACCGCAACACACACTGCAAACGGGTGTGAAACGTACGTTAGATCCACCTACAGTTCTTAGAAACTTAGATGTGTTTAAGAACTCTTTTTTCGTACAACAGCAGCACTCATCTTGTTTGTTTATTAGTGGATCTGGATGACCAGTCGTAGACCGGAAACTGATATGCCGACTTCTGACAAAAAACTACGCTTGTGCACATAGCCTATATTTTAATGGCAGTTATGGCAGTGTGCTAATCAGCACAGTGATAGTCTCTTGACTATCTTTAGTACACGCAGGTGTGCTTGTGCTTTTGTTAACTAGATTGGAAATATGGAACATTTATAATGTAAATAATTATTAAATATAAGAAATAAATTGCATTGTATATTTCTCTCTATATATATGTGTGTGTGTGTTTATAATGCACAAGTAAATATATATGCAATATATTACACTTACAGTACCATATCTGATCACACATACATCTATGTATTATGAAGTGTATTACTGGATATAAAATTACATACATTATATTTTTCAATATATGAAAAGCGGCAATTCCTTATCAATATATATTTTTATATGTGAACACAATATATTATTCTGTATATTTTCAACTATACTGTTATAATTTAATATATTGATCATTCACATATTGGTAAATATATGTTCTTTTCGTAGGGGGAATTCTGTGTTTGTAGGGTTGAAGTGAACTGTGTGGTGATTAGAAAGCATCTTGGTTGGTACAATTACTCTCAATGTTATGTCTCTCTTTAGGAACATGCATGCTTCCTTTCCTTGAAAAACTTGTGACCCACAAATTTGGCTGGATGGCAATGCTGCCCACCGGCCAAACCTATAACTGGTACTTTGATGGTGCTTCCCAAATCACTAACATCTCATACAATGGAATGGTCTACGGTTTTCAGGTAAAGAGGGCACTCTAAACGTTACTAAATAATTAAATATGCTTTCAAATGAAAAGTTGAAAATTGTGATAACATTTACTCACCCTTATATTGTTGCAATGCCATTTACTGTTATTTATAGTATCTGTGGAACAGATCATTAATAATTATTATGTTAAACTCCATTTACATTAATTTTATGATGTTTTTTTTTGTGGCTTTTAGCATCACAACCCTTGGAGAATAAAACTATGATTTTAATTATGTTCCAGCCAGAAAATTATATAATCATGAATCACAACCTGACTCAGACACCTGACAGCTTCCGCATTATAAATGACAGGAATGGTTCCTCCCAGCCCCTTAACCACACTGTGAATGTAAATGGGGACTGGTACTTTAACGAGTCATCCAGAAGCCTCTATTACATGGGTAAAATTACTTGTCTTTTCACCCAAGACATATATGCTTTCTATTTATAGAGGACACATACAGCATAATGCTGTTCAGTACTGTTCATAGTACTATGCAAAAAAAAATAAAGATTTTGAGTTTTGTGACTACAGTGTCTGGAAGAGACCGTGTGACTAGCCGGAGGAGGAGGAACAGTGTGGACCGCTCAGCTGTTGACAGACGGTTGGACTTCAGAGTATATCAGTGTTACTATCCCCGCTGTATTCAACCTATCCCTCCACCTGATCCTGTAATCAATCCAGTCAACACAACTGCCCACAGACCTGCAAACTATGTGTATGCTAACACAAACACACTAAGCACTTTTTTTCATAAAATAATAATAATAATAACAATACCTATTATTATTATTACTATTATTATGATCTTTTGAATCGAGTGACCATGCTAATAAAACATATGTTGCGTTTAGCCTCTGGTCAAACACATCGTTCTGGCGGTCAAGTTCAGAGAACAACTTCAATGTGCCACAAGACGGCTCTGATGTGGTAATTCCACCTGGTAAGCATCTCTAATGTGACAAATCTCAAGCAAAGACAAAGAAAAAGCTATTTATCAATATGGTATGTTATTTCATTACAAAATGTCCCATCATTTCTCAAAGGCATTTGGATGGTTGTGGATGTTGTAGTCCCCTCCCTGAACAAGCTGAAAATAGTTGGAGTTCTGGAGATTCCAGACACAATCAATGGCACCTCCACCAGAAATGTCTCTCAATATAATAACATTGTTCTGAATGCCACATACATCTCCATTCAAGTAAGCACATTACTACATTCAAATGGCATTTTTCTGCTATAGACATCTTAGGATTATTACACCAAATCAGAACCAGACTCTTCCTGTGTGCTAATTTCACATCCTTCTGTCCGTACTAAAGACACTAACTCAATCTGTACATGTTCACTTGACTCAATCAGGGTGGACGTCTGATTGCTGGGTGGCCTGATGAACCCTTCAGAGGTCAGCTGCAGATCATACTGAGAGGAAGCCATTCCACGCCAGACTGGCTGTTACCCTCTGGACCAAACCAAGGGTCCAAAGTTCTAGGTAGATCAACAGGAATAAAAATAAAGAAATCTCATTATTGATTGTGTATGCATCAGAGAAGTTCCTCTCAATCGTTTGCCTACTTAAAAGTGTTGATTTGAGTGGAAACATTGTCTTCCAGGTGTGTTTGGATCTCTTGACCTTTATGGTATGCCACACAACGTGTATCACACTAAGCTGGCTAACACATCCCAGGCAGGAAACAGCACTATCTCTCTACAGGAATCTGTGGACTGGAAGGTCAGAAGCTTTATAAAAACGTAGACCTTAAGATAATTATTTAACCGCCCTGTGTTATTTGGTGATGTATTTACGTAGTTCCCTTTCAAGGGAACGAGAGCTGCGTCGAGACGCTGTGGGAACGCACCTGTGTGAATGCGTCGTGAAGCATGTGTATTATCAGTCCAATGGAGAGACGAGACGTCATAGGCGGGTGACGTCATCGACCAGGAAACTATAAAGCACACCTGAAAACAGACCGCGCTAGATATTAGTAGTAATTAAATATCTACTCATCTTATCCTTGGAGTTTGATGTCTATATTTATATAGGCTACTATTCATTTTTCCAGACCGTTTCTACTTGGTTTTACAGAAGACAAGTACGTAGACAGAATTCAGTTCGGTTCTCTTTCACCCATATTTCTAGGGGTCCTACGGTGGTGGACCCCGAGCAGGCTCTCGTTTATGTTATCATCCCTGGGAAGTGACTCTCTAAGGAGGATCGCAGTGCTGTTAGTTCGGTTGTTCCCCGCTTCAGGGCACCAAGGTGTCATCGTTTTCAAACAATCCTCCTTGGAGGGTCGTAGAACAGTCAGTTCGGTTGTTCCCTGCCAGTTCGCCGTTAAAGGGCACCGAAGTGGCTGTTCGACCGATACCAGCCCAGTAGACTTTCTGGCAGCATGTAAGCTACTGCCAAATATATCTCATTGGGACCTGCTCACTATAGAAAAGGGTTACAGAATTCAGTTTGGTTCTCATCAACCAATATTTCTAGGGGTCCTCCCTACGTGGTAGACCCCGAGCAGGCTCTGGTTATGGAGCAAGAAGTACAGACTCTTCTGCGAAAGGAGGCTATAGAAAGGGTTCCTCCTCCCAATAGGGAGTCAGGGGTTTACAGCCGTTACTTCAATGTTCCAAAGAAGGATGGATGCTTGCATTTAAACAGATTATGTCACAGATTCAGTCCGAGGACTTGTTTGTCACGATAGATTGAAGGACGTGTCCTTTCATGTAGCCATCCATCCTCCACACTGGAAGTCCCTGAGGTTTGCTTTCGGGGGCAAAGTGGACCAATATCAAGTTCTTCTCTTCGGCCTAGGTAAAACTAGGCCAGTCACTTACTGTGAAACAGTTTCAGAGAATGGTGGGTCTCATGGCAGCTGTGTCCAACTTAATAACTTTTGGCCTCCTGTACATAAGACCCCTCCAGTGATGGCTCAGGACCCAAGGGGTTTTCTCCAAGGGGAAATCCGTTTCGCATGATCAAGGTCAGGTGGCGATGCCTAGTTATGTGGAACAAACCTTGGTTCCTCGCCCAAGGCCCAGTGCTGGGGGCTTCTTGTTGATGCATAGCTATCGACGGATGCTTCCCTCACAGGTTGGGGGGCGTTCATGAGTGGTCGCTCGGCGAAAGATCTTTGGCAGGACCATCTACTTTCTTGGCACATAAATCATCTAGAAATTATGGCGGCGTTTCGATCTCTCTTTCTCTCAAGCACTTCCTGCCAGACTTAAGAGGTCACCATGTGCTTGTCTGCACGGACAACACATCAGTGGTCTCTTACATAATCCAGGAGCAGCCATCCCTCCGGGGAATGCATACTCCACCCCGAGGTGGTGGAGCTCCTATGAAAAATTTTGGTCGAGCAGAAGTAGACATTTTCGCATCTTAGAGAACACGCACTGTCCACTATGGTTCTCACTCAGTCAGCCAGCTCCTCTGGGGCTGGACGCTATGATGCAGACGTGGCCGAGGTCTCTGCTCCAGGGAGTTCTGGAGAAAGTTTGCCGGGACGGGACCCATCTTCTGTTATTAGCCCCATGTTGGCTGTATCGTTCTCGGACCTAGAGTCTCTCCTCGACGGCTCTCCTCTGGAGATTCCGCTTGGAGGGGACTTTCTCTCAGTTGAGCGGTTGATCCTTCCTCCTTCCCAGAATTGTGGAAACGTTGGCCTTGGCCTCTGAGGGGGCCCAGCTCATAAATTTAGGTCTCTCAACTGAGGTTATTGAGACCATCCTCAACTCCAGAGCTCCCTCCATGAGGAAACTCTACACCTTGAAGTGGAAATTGTTCACTTCCTGGTGTGGAGAGCACCAGTTGGACCCAGTTATCTGCCCTGTGGTTGTAGTGCTGGAGTTTTTTCAGGAGCGTTTCTCCGCAGGTCTATCCCCCTCCGCACTAAAAGTGTACATGGCGGCCTTAGTTGCTTACCACATCCTTTTAAGTGGTGTATCCTCCCTTTAAGCGGTGTATCCTTGGGGAGACAGCCTGTAGTACGCTTCCTTCGCGGCACTGTGAGGCCATACTCCTAGTATCTGACCAAGATACTAGGAGTATGGCTGCCTCAAAGGCTATGACTTGGATCTAAGCTCCACTCTGGGGACTAGGGCGCTTGCTTCTTAGTGTGCGCTATGACTTCACACAGAACAGCCATTTGCTATTATGGTGTAGTGGGTATAGTGTTCCCACAGCATCTCGTCGGAGCTCGAGTTCCCATGAAAGGGATCGTCTCAGGTTACGACTGTAACACTAGTTCGCTGAGAGGGAAAGAGATGCTGGCTCGCCCTGCCATACTCCCTGCATGCCTGTGCTTCGGCCTATCAGAAGCTACCGTGGTCTGTTTTCAGGTGTGCTTTAGGAAACTGGTCGATGACGTCACCCGCCTATGATGTCTCGTCTCTCCATTAGATTGATTTTACACGTGCTTTATGAAGCAATCACGCAGGGGCGTTCCCACAGCGTCTCGATGCAGCGTCTCGTTCCCTCTCAGGAAACCAAGCTCTTAACTATTATTCTCTTTGTTTGAATAAAACACTTTTGTTTCTTCCAGGTTGGGGAGAAGATCCTGCTGTCCACCACCAGCTATGACCCCTGGCAGACAGAAATCCGCACCATAACTGCTATCTCAAATGATGGCCGCACACTTACTCTGGATCAGCCTTTATCATTCACACACATCGGTTAGTCCTCTAGTCTAGATTATAGATAATGTCATTATAGCAATAATAGGCATTGTGCTGTATCGATAAGCTGTTGGTACACTGCTAAACAGTCAGGTACACAGGTACCTGTAATAGGTACACAGATAAACAGTCATGTGAAAAAGAAAGTACACCCTTTTGAATTCTGTGTTGGTATGAGGTTTACTGTTATGGTATGACTGTTACTTCTGGCTGGTATGATGTGTTTGTGCTGATATGCTGTGTTTGGGTTTTGCCAAACGTGGCTCCTTGAATTATGGCCAAACATGAACTTAAAATTGTTTGGAAATTGCCTTGTAACCCTTTCTAGATTGATGGGCAGCAATAATTGCTTTTCTAAGATCATTGCTGATGTCTTTCCTCTTTGGCATTGTGTTAAAACACACCTGAATGCTCCAGACTAGCAAACTGAGAAAACCTCTGCTTTTATAGAGTTGGTCACACTTTCTGATGGCATTTGATTAGCAGCCCCCGACTGTTACTTACACTCTTAGTTCCTATGGAAGCTGTAAGGGTGTACTTAGTTTGTCACACATGACTCACTATTTTGGCCTAGTTTTTGTTAAATAAATAATGACACAGTTTAATATGTCATGTGTTGTTGTTCATCTGAGGTTGTATTTACCTCATTTTAAGAACTGCCAAGGGCCAGATGAGTTTTATTGTGTCCTGATATGTAAAATCATATAATTCAAAAGGGTGTATTTTTTTTCACATGATGACATGTATATTTATTTGTACTATTTTTAACAGTATTGTCATTAATGTCTAAGATGGCAAAGCTGAATTTTAAGCAACAATTACTCAAGTCTTCATTCTAATATGCTGATTTGGTGCTCAAGAAACAAATCTTGTTGTTAAAAACTTTTTTTATAACACTAAGAAATACACTAAACACATTTTTTGTGGAAACCATGATACATTTTCACTTTTTTGATTTAAAAAAAAAATTACAATTAAATTAAAACTAAATGTATTTGGTCATATAGGGGAGAGCTACAGTGTGCCAGCTACTTCAAGAAGTTATCAGCTTGCAGGAAATGTGGCTTTACTGACCAGGAACATCAAGATCATTGGTCAGGAGTATCCAGAAATGTACACACAGTCTTATGGAGCCAGAGTCTTGGTGGGAAGCTTCTCCAGTGGAGGGATTGATTACAGAGGTATAATCAGGGCTCGACATGAACTTGTCAGCATTTTCACTGGCCACAATTTTGACATCGATACCATTGAGTAAAACTGCCATATAGGTTTTTTAATGTTATCTCATAATTTGGCAGCAGGCATATTAGGCTGCTGTCACTGTAAGACCTGACTCACAGATCCATTATCCTGTTACATATGTTTCTCAACTGACTGTGTTTACATGAATATACTTCACCTTCCCCAGCTCCACCTGTATAGATCTGCTAAAGATAATTCATGTACGCTATATGTTGAACAGGAGCAGCATGTCTTACTTGCTCACATCAGCGTGTCATGATATTTTTGTATTTAATGAAAACTCACTAAAGCTGATGATAATTTGCCTCACAGGAAAAGCCCAGATCAGAAATGTTCAGTTCTACCACACCGGGCAGGAAGGATGGAACGACCCGTCAGACCCACGTTACTCTCTGGTGTTTTATAACCTGGGAGAGGTGAGAGAAAGTCTTGATACAGTACATGTCCATTCCAGAATATCACAAATATTCCTTTCAACTTCTTATTGTCACAATATTTTTAGGTGGTTGGTGAGTCTTACGTCAAAGGATGTGCTTTTCATGACGGCTTTGCTCCTGCTATTGGTGTTTTTGGAACTGACGGACTGAGTATCGATGATAATGTGATCCATCACACCGTTGGAGAAGGTGCAGATTCAACGGCTATTAAACACTTTTAAACCAAATATAATCATAATGAGTTGGGTAATATGATTTAGCACTTTTCTATTCTGCACTTTTTATTCCAATTTCCCAGGAATCAGAGTCTGGGGTGACAGTAATGCCATCAGGAGGAACTTGGTTACCCTGACACTGTGGCCTGGATCGTACAACGGCAGAGCGGAGGAATTTAACTTTGAATGGAATGCAGCCATTGAGGTAACCCTTAAAGTAACATACTGTGATCAGATGATACCATGGTACTGTTCTAAAACATAGTTGAGAATTATTACCATATTATTTTGAAAAAAAAAAAAAATCATTGTGGCGGCACTCCAAGGTACAAGAATGGTATGGTACATGTTCAAAAAACAGTATTATCATGGTCAATCATCAAAATATCCATTGTATTATTGGCTGATAGATTAGTACTAGATAAAGAACTGATATATTAGTGTTGATGTTGTAGGTGAGTGAGGCAACCAATGCAATTCTTCAAGGGAATATTGTTGCTGGCTATGAACGAGTGGGATTCCGAATTGATGGTGAACCATGCCCAGGTATAGAAGCCAATAATTATTTTCTAAAATAAAACTATAACACAAGAACATTTTGAATAAAACACAAAAACAAATACATTAAATGATATCATCTAATGTATTTGTTTTAATTAAAGATTAACTTAATTACTAATTTATTCATGTATTCCAACAATATGTCAAAAGGATCTCCAAATTCAGTGGCTCAATGGAGTCAGAATGAGGCACATGGCGGTCTGTACGGACTCTACATGAATAAAGATGGACTTTCTGGTTGCTCTCAAATCCAGGGGTTCACTGTCTGGAGGAGCTTTGACTTTGGCATTTATGTTCAAGTAGGATAAATGATCTGCAAACTTCCTACTATAATTACAGTACAAAGCCAAGTGTTTTAAATTGTTAATTTCTAGTTATACAAATGCACTGTACTGTTCTGGTGAGCATTCCTGTTTTCTTCTCACTTCCAGGTATCGATGAATGTGTTAGTTTCTAACGTGAGCCTGATTGATAATGGAATGGGTATCATGTCTCTCATCTACAGTCCTCCCTCGCTCAGCCACACATACTCTGACAAAATAGTCCGTGTACAGGTAAGGATGCACTATATTTCTCTTCGGTCAAAACTAAAGGCCAATTTACACTGCGCCGACAGACAGACAGCTACAAACACTTTGTAGGGTCAATGAGAGCATCTGTCAGCTCTCATTTTCGCAGATTGATCATGTTGAATCTGCATTTATTGGGTTTTGGAATGCCTGCGAAGTTACAGACTGTAATCTGGTGACTGTTACTGTTGGTCGGTATCTGTTGGTGCTGTCTGAATTGTCCTTAAGAAAAGCATTCTTATTCTGTTCATTTTTTTTTTTTATTACATTTTTCAAAAAATCATCTCTACAGGGTGCCCTGATTGTGGGCAGCAGCCCTAACTTCAACTGTTTTGACAGTCTGTCGACAACTAAGACCTATGTTATGCTCAGCAAGAGCCACAGGGCCCCTCGCCCCCCCAATGGTACAATGCATATTAAAGAATCATCTATGCACTACTGAATAAATGTATTTAAAATAACTTATCCATTTTCCATGCTGATTCTAACTGTGTTTTCTCTGTGCAACAGGTGGAAGGTCTGGAATTTCCTGGCCAACATTTGAATCTTTCCACAATAATGCACCACAAAAGCCTCACACTGGACTGATGAGCTACAATGCCATAGCTGGTCTAATGGCTGTCTCTGGTGAGTCACATTGCTTCAAATGTCCCTCTTCAGTTTAAAACTTTCATAATACAAACAAAGAGCATCTATTTACACCTTTTCTATTTACAGACACAACTTTTGTTGGGTTCAAGAATGTGTGCTCGAAGGAGACAAATTACATGTTCATGACCAACCCGGGAAATGAGGATCTACAACATCCAATCAGTGTTGAGAGGATAGCCATGATAAACAGCACAGAGGACGCTCTGGCATACATTCATCGGCCTGATCTGGGGTAATTCAAAAGCTTAGGTTACACACCGTTAATTAAGAAGGTATGAGACAGACAGTGTGAGACAGTCTACTAAATTGTATTAAACATTCTACATCTGAAACAGAAACAGAAACGAAATCATTTAATTTTAAATGAACGAGGTGGAGTGCCCTCTGGTGGACAACCAGGGCACTCCAGCTGGTGATTGTGACAGATATTCATATGCAGATTTTTTGACTAACTTATTTGGAGTTGGTTGACTAGTCTGTTTAAATATTTCTGCATTAATGAAGTTAGTCGTGGTGCGCATCTCTACTGTTAATAAACTATTACTCCCGAAAAAGTAATTATGAAACATTATAAGGAAGACAACAATGAAAATGTGTGATTGAGAGAACAATGTTGGGATGAATAAAAAATATGAAGTGACTAATTGATTTTTTTCATACTTATATCTCAGCAAGGTGAACCCATCAGATTGTGTGGACATGGACTGTGATGCTAAGAAGAAGACGATGTTGAAGGATCTGGATGGCAGTTTCCTGGGTGCAGTTGGAGCAGTGGTGCCCCAGTCCGAGTACGAGTGGAACGGGGATCCCCGACACGGACTGGGCGATTACCGCATCCCTAAAGTCATGCTCACCTCTCTCAACGGCAGCCGGATACCTGTGAATCAAATCGCTCCTTACAAAGGTACAGTATTTACAGTGATCTAAGAGAGAGAACTTGAAATGATGGAGCTGCTTTTAACGTTTGACGCTGTTTTACCTGTGCAGGAGTGATCAGAGACACCTGTACGTACATGAACACCTGGCAGAGTTACAAGTGCTTTGGGCTCAACTATAGGATGCTGGTCATTGAAAGTTTGGATGCAGACACAGAAACCAGGCGTCTTTCACCTGTAGCCATCCTGGGGGACAAATATGTGGATTTGGTGAATGGTATGACTCTTACCTCCCCCTGTAACACTTACTATTTTATGCATAATATTGTTTAGGATTTTATATAAGCAGAAATTGTGTTTTATTGTGTGTTGTTAAATTTTAATCTTACTGTGAATATCTTGTTGTTCCAGGCCCACAAGACCACGGCTGGTGCGCCGGCTACACGTGTCAGAAGCGAGTGTCTCTCTTCCACGCCATTGTGGCCACTAATAAATCCTTTGACATCTTTTTCACCAGCACAACACCACAGAAGCTGAGACTTATGTTACTGAATGCTGGACCTACAGAGGTTAGTTAGATGGCTTTTACTGACAATAGACTATATTGATCTATAAGTATCTACAGGTGATGCAACATTTTGAATGATAAAAGGCATATTAGGATTTTATTATTAGGTATTATTCTGCATTGTTATTAAAAATACATAATTTTATTTCCATTTTGTCTTCTGATTTATTTTAAGATTTTTTCAAATGACATTTGTTTTGTTTTTTTCTGAATTTTGCAGAACTTTGTGTATCTTTTAAATATTACAAATAAATTGACTGATGAATCAATACCAATCAATTAGTTGTATTGATTGATACACACATATACATACACAAATATATACACACATAATGTATATAATCATTTAATGTAAGAACATTTAAACATAATTGTTAAACATAAAATTGTTACATGTAATAATCATATAATAATTGATAATAATAAAAAAGTTTTCATAATAATAATGTATTAATTTATTAACAGATATTATGTAAAATAATATAGTAATTTCAAAAATAAGAGTAATTTGTTTATTAATTTATTTATGTTACTATATAGGCTATGTTTTTTTACATATTAGTTAATATTTTATTATTTAAAAGCTACAAAACACAATCCAGAAAAATTGAGCCAGTTGAGAATGAATCCTAAAATAAATAAATAAGTACATTATGGTCAAAAGATATCCAACACCTCATCAAAATAAATGTGAACGCAAACCTACTATTATTTTATACATTTTATTATTTTATATTATTTTATTCAAAAAAATATATATACATTTTATTTTTTATTTTAACTTTTTCAGTAGAAACTTAACTACAGTAATATTCTGTTGTTTTCAGGCTGTCAGGGTTGCTGTATTTTACTCAAACCCTCAGCGGCTGGATGTGTACGTTAACAATACTTTGGTTGGTCCAACAAATGCTGAGTGGAATGCTGATAAAACTGACTACACTCTGCGTGAGCCAACTTATACAGGTAGAGTACAAACACAATGATGCACAAAATTCAGGCCAGCAGACCATTTTTTGTGAAAAAACACATCACAATTATTACTTTGATTCCTCTCTGTGCTCCTCAGGGCAATACGTTCCTAGTTTCAACTCCAGTCACGGCTCCAACTTCTTTGACCAGGACTACAAAATGCTGAACATACTTCTTCGAGGCTCAGAGCCGGTCCAAATCCGCACCTCCCCGGTTTTGTTCCTGGCCTTCAACCTCCCAGCCATGACTGAGGCGGAGTTCTTCGGGACAAAACTGATCAACAATCTAGCTTTACTCCTAAAAATACCGGCGAACAAGATTCGAATTACCAACATCGTCCGTGAGGGTACTAATGCGAGACGGAGGCGCTCGACAGGACTGACGGTGCAGGTGGAGATCAGGGAGCCCCCTGTTCAAACATCATCCACCAACAGCACCACTGGTGAGAGCAAGAATAAAATAAATGACAAACACAATGTTTATATCACAATAAAATGTCTTAATATTTATAAACCATCTGCAGAAGACCAACAGTTTGCGGCCCTAAAGAACATTGCTGACGATCTGGGCCGCGCTGCTGTCTCAGGCAATCTGAGTCAGTCCATCGGCTTCAATGTGTCATCCCTGGGCATCATCCCTCCTCCACCCTCTTCCAGTGACTCCACCTGGAACGATGTAAGATGCTAATAAATCACTTGACCAAACTCACTAACATTTTAAAATGTTATGATGATGTTAAGCAGCATTTGGGAATTTTAATTGAAACATATTTGACAGTTGACATGATGAAGTTGATATTTAAAGAAATCGACCAAGCAACAATCTGGGTTACAGTGGGGCACTTACAATGGAAGTGAATGGGGCCAATCCATGAACATTAAAATACTCACCTTCATTAGTGTCTGCGTCAACAACAAATTGAATCATGCCATTGAACCAATGACAAAAGCAAACAACAAATTGTGCTAATATACACCGCATGGCATGCTGTAATTATGATCCTAACACTTATCTCAATACTGAAATGCCAGATTAATCTTTTATGAATTAAAATATTGGTGTCAGGTAGGGGTGTGACGGCTATAATAGTGAGACATACGGTTATAGTTGAACACCGTCACATCAATACATATACGTATAATTAATAGTCGGGCAGAGATGCTCTACAGTGGAGCACACAACTTGCTTTTTCTTATTTGAGCTGTAACGGTCTCTCTCTCAGGTGGCCACCCAGGAGGTGACCCGTGAAGACCAGCAGGTGGAGACGGTCAAGACGGTATCATCCCTGATGGTGGCGGTACAGCCAGTGGCCGGATCGTCCCCCGGACCCCTCAGCGTGCAGCCCAGCATCATGGCTCTGGACGCAGCGGTGAGATTGTATTAAAGGGATAGTTAAAATGAAAAATGAAAATTAGCCCATGATTTACTCACCCTGAAGCCATTCTAGGTGTATATGACATTCTTCTTTCAGACATTTCAAAGAAAAAATGTCCTGGCATTTCCCAGCTTTATAGTGAGATTCAATGGGTATATTTTTTCAACCGAAGCACATTAACCCGTGATAAAAGTGATCGAAACGGCTCTGCAGGGGTTAATAAAGTGCGGATATAGTGCGGAAGGATATAAAAAATATCCATATTAAAATAATTAGCCTCGGGCAGACGGTCGTACGCAAGTCGACCTACGCCAAGAGAGTAGCCCTTGAACTTGACACGCAACGTAATGACGAACGCAGTTGCCCAGCCCTGTTTGTTTGAACCGCGAGAGGCATCGAAGCTTATGCTATTCCTACATCCTACATCATACATGCATTAATTGTTACTCTTTTGGCATAAGTTGACTTGCATAAGGCTGCCTGCTACTTGAAAAAAAAAAATGTACCCATTGAGTTTCACTATAAAGCTTAGAAGAGCCAGGACATTTTTAGTATAACTCTGATTTTATTCGTCTGATAGAAGGATGTCATTGTGGCAATTTTAATTTTGTGGTCTGTCCCTTTAATTGAGATGGTTCTCACTGCTGAACATGAAATTCACAGGAAGGAGTCGGATCCAGATCCAACTCCTCCCAACTTACATACACCTAAACCTGCCCAACTCTGCCCCCAGATCCCTAAACCCACCCCTAATCCCTAAACCCGACCCCCTTGGATCTTGATCCGACTCCTCCCCGTGGATCTCATGTACTGCATTGAGGTGCTGCTGCTTTAATTCGGAGTGGTGATTGGCTTCTGTAACTGGAGAGTATGTGTCTAAGTCATCAGTTTGTGAGCTTTTTCTTGCGTTATTCATAAGAATCCTTTTAATCCAATCAATGTGCTGTATATGCATGAGAACGCATTACAGTGGAGAATTCAAACGTCACCAGACCGCTTCTGCACTGTTTGGGCACGTGTCAGTATATGTTTCCTCAGTATAGTAACAGTGGTTTCTGCATGGAACGCCACAATAAGTTTAACAACAATTGCAATGCGGATCACAGTTCGGATCCAGACCGGATACTCTATTGCTACAAACATGAACCAGCACTGTGTATGCACATATACTTTATTATGTCTTCTTAAATGTAATGTGTGCAAATAAGGACACTGATACATATCTGGCAAAATCATATATGTATCATATTTTTCACAACTCCCAGAGATTTTCCCATGGTGATTTCACTGTGTCTACTGTGTGGTGTTCTTGTAATGGAAATATTATTAGACCTTTTAAATGCCCTTCCACATTTGATTTGTTCATGAGTTTGTTAGTAGTCTGTAATGATACTTTTTTTGTAAGTTTGTTGTCATAGGGTTATGTTTAAAATACCAATCTCTTAGGGAATTTTTTCTTCAGATCTTACAGTAGGTGTGAACGACCAGTGCTAAATCAAGGTTTTGTTTATGACCCTTTAATTACGAACTTAAGAATGACTGGTGTAACGCTACCTGTAGGTGATTGATTAGGAAACCCCACCTGGTATCGAATAAGCAGAGCATCTTTTTTGTGTGTCTGTTTCCAGGGTGACTGTGTGTCCGTGGGTGTGACGAGTCTGACCATCTCTGCTGTACTCAAAGATGCTAACGGGAATCCAACAGAGGGGCTTTACGGAAACACCACCATCCCGTTCAGTGGCTGCTGGGCCAATTACACTGACTTAGCCATCTTCACAAGTGGTGGGTCATCTCTATTAGCCTTTATGATTTGGATTTTTTGGGGGCCAATGTAACTTGTTATTTTAAGCATTTTTGATAATTTCTCTCTCTGTACTTCTTCTAAAGGTGATAACTTGAAGTTGGCCTTTACTCTAAATGAATGGAAAGCTGAGTCCAGATCTTTTACGCTCAGATCACCTACAACCCCGTCTTCTATAGTCGTCACTACGGACGATGATTTCCCCAGCATCTTTGACTCCAGTCCAGCTATCTGGTCACCATCTGTGTATCTGCTCATATTGTTGAGTGGTTTACTCCTGCTCAGGGGAATCTAGAACCAATGAAGAAGTGCACTCACATACAAATAATATATATATAACCTCACCTTCAAATGATTTGCCTTTGTCTTAGATACTTCTGTTGTTTTCACATATGACCATTATCTGTAAGCTACAACTATTATTCTTTTTACAAATGTTTTTGTTTGCTTTAAATCTATTCATATTACTTTACTTTGGAAATTATACATTTATATGCTTTCTTATATGCTTAATAAAATCAAGTTCTATCATACTTCTGTTGTCTTTTTTTCTACATTAAATTCTTGAACATACAAACGCCAAACATTTCCATTGGCATGAAATCAAAGTTGTGATCTTTTCTTCCTTCTGTTATAAATTATACGTGTGAAATGAATGTTGGATGGGACTTGATATTGTCCATCGGGAAACAATTGGATCTCATATGGTCTAATGTGAGTGACAGGTTCTGTCACTGTTCATGGGTCTGTGTGTTTATCCTTGCATGTGTTGTGTTTCTCTTTGCCTTTCAGCATTGCTGGGCAACTCATTACACTGACAAATTAATCAGGCCAACCTCACCTGACACTCATTATCTCTTCCCACATCTACCCTTGTGTTGCAGTCAGTCTTTGGCCATGTCCACACTAATACGTTTCCGTTTGAAAACGTATATCTTTCTCTCCGTTTTGGCCTTCCGTCCACACTGAGACGGCGTTTTAAGTCAACAAAAACGTATCGTTTGGAAAACGCTCTCCAAAGTGGATAAATTTGAAAACGCCGTTTTCGCATTGTAGTGTGGACAGTGAAACCGGAGGTATTTCAAAACGATGACGTTAATTTAGTCATGTGATCCATGTAGTACCAATGTTTATCGGTATTGTGCCTGTTATGTGTTATTAATTTTTACACTATTGCTAAAATATGCTACTTTCTATGTTACTTAATATGTGCTGTTCTTCATAGCACAGTACTGCAAAGATGACAGATAAATACTCACATTTGCTGTCCTGCGGCAAAACAGGAGAGCAGTTGCATTTTAGACCAAACATATGGTGACTGAATGCGACCTGGACGCATCAGTGATGGTGAGATATTTTGCTAAATAAAATTATCCTGTTATTGTGCGATAACATTATTATTTATTTTCCCATCTGTATCATCTCAGTGAGCTTTTGTGAATGCGCAGTAAAGTGAATTTAGAAGTTTCTCATCCACATTGAAACGTCGGAAAACGTCTGAAAACGCTAGTGTGGACGGAGAGCGTTTTTAAATGAAAACCCCGTTTTCAAATGTATCCGGATTAATGTGGATGTAGCCTTTGTCAGATTGTTGTTTGGTTCATGTCTGCCATTTTGCTCCTGCCATCCTGTGTTTTATTTCCTTGCCTCTTGTTCATGTTGCTGCTGCTATCTCTTCGATTACCCTGTCATATATAACCTGCTGTTGCAACATCGTCTCGGTTACGCATGTAACCCTTGTTCCGCGAAGGATGGAACCGAGGCGTTATGTCAAAACGACTGGCGAATGGGGTCTCACCCGAGAGCCCAATCACCTTAGCGTTGTACAAAATGAGCCAATGGTACGCAAAGTACCTTGATCAGCAGAATTTGCATCGCAAGCACTGCCCCGCTGTATGTGTATATAAGGAGCAGTGCCTGCATTCTTGCATTCAAGTTCTTCGCTGAGGAGCCGGGAGGTGTGTCACGGCTGTTCAGAGGTACAACGGTAGTGGCAAGGAGACATAATGTCTTTGTTCCCTCCTTCAGGGAACGAGGGCTACGTACATAACCTGGACGTTCCCTTTCAGTCAGTCATGTTCTATGTTACGTCAGAACAACTGAGAATGTGGTACTATCCAGTCTTCCAGTGCCCTGCGCAAGCCAGAGATCCATGTCATGAGGCCAGCATAAGCGAAGGGCTAGGCTTAACCCAAGAGTTACCAAGGTACACTGGGAAGCAAATTTCTCTGAGGTAAAAAAAATCTCTGATCTCTGATTCATCCAACTGGGCAGCACACAGGAGTTAGACGTCAACAGTGCTGGATGAACCCAGGGTTCAGAACTGTGGAACTCACCTGAGGAGTGTAAATGCGCCAAAGCCCTGGAGGAAGCAACACCCCTGGTCGACTGTGCCTTCACCCCTAGGGGCATGGCAGAATTTGGGCTTGCTAAGCCAAGGCTTTATCATCCACTATCCAGTGGGACAACCTTTGCTTGGAGACAGCCTTTCCCTTCTGCTGGCCTTCGTAACAGACAAAGAGACACTGAGTTCAATCTACGTAAGCACGGAGAGTGCGTGCTGGACAGAGCAGTTCTAGGGCTAGGTCTGCCTCCTCCAGGGGTAGAGCTTGCAAGGTTACCACCTTATCCCTGAAGGGAGTGGTGGGAACTTTGGGCACATACAGTATCCCCACCGGGGTCTCAAGTTCACATTAGAGTGAGTCGGCCCGAATTCCAGTCAAGCTTCGTCAACTGAAAATGCCTGCAGGTTCCCTACCCTCTTAACTGAAGGCAAAGCCGTCAGGAGCAGTGTCTTTTAGCTTGCCTGAGATGATGCAACGTCAGTCTCCACAAACGTTCAGACTCCATAAAAGGAAATGGAGTCAGAGTCACGAGTTGCTACATGTGACTGAAGTGTAGACCACCTTGGCAGTTGATGTACGCTACAGTCGCAGTGTTGTCTGTCCGGACCAGTACGTGCTTGCCCCTCAGCAGAGCCCTGAAGTGGTGGAGAGCAAGATGTATTGCTAGCAACTCGAGGCAATTGACATGAGACTGAGGTCGGGGTCCTGTGACATCGACAACGGGGCACATGACATCCCAACCCATGGTGGAGGCATTTGTTGAGACAATGGACTGGGACCTCTTTGGGTCGTCTCTGATTGAGAGCTGGTGACAAGAAAAGAGGGGGAAGAGAGCTCAGAGGCGTTGTGTCGCCCACTTTGATCTGCGCCCTCTTGGGATCTGTAGGTAGAGTTTGTGTTAGTTCTTTCTTGACAAATTGGGTTCCATCAGCCGTGAGGCAAAAGGAAAAGGAGAACAAAATATTCTCCCTCGACCCTCCTCCGGGGTGTTTATCTCAGGATTGGCTGGCATTTGGTACACTATAGAAAATTTCGATTAATTAATTTCTATAGGAGAGGAAGAATTTTCTAAACTTGTTAAATCATTTAAATCGACAACATGCATGTTGGACCCTATACCGACTAAGCTATTGAAAGAGATGCTTCCAGAGGTCATAGATCCTCTTCTTAATAAGTTCAACATGACAGGGGACCACAATCCCCTCATTTCATGGAAAGAGGGTCGGATCATCAAATGGGACTCATCATGTCACTCCAACTGTTTAACTGGCAGCTCTTCACTCTCCGTTCAGACCGTTACACTAAAGAACGAACCTACTCTTCTTCCTACTCATCCCATTGAATACTCTTACCTCATCGAGGCTTTTAGCAAGACCAGGGCATTGGAACTTCCTCTTTACCGCTCAATGCTCCATTGAACTATTACCAGGCGCAGCACCACCTAAGGGTCGAATGTTTTCCATATCACAACCCTAATCCGAAACCACGAGGAACTACATAGAGGGGGTACTTTTAAAGGAGTTCATCAGAGCATATATGTTACCTGCAGCCTCCGTGTGTCTCAAAGACATCACTGTCATGTTTCGATATCCATTGCCTCTGGTACCAGCTGCCCTAGAACAACTTTGCAATGCCAAATAATTTTTCAAACAAGACCTCTGCAATGCCTTTAATCCTTTTCGCATCAGGGAGGGTGATGAATGGAAAACAGCCTTTTCTAACAGCACTGGGCACTATGAATATTTGGTTATGCACTTCGGGCTTGCCAACAGTACTTCCGTATTTCAATCCTTCATCAATGACATCTTTCAGGACATGCTTGACCATTGGGTAATCATTTACATCAATGACATTCTCATCTATTCCAACACCTATGAGGAACACATAGGATTGATGATTAAAAATATTATCCAACCTTGAGTGAGTCTGTCTTCTGAAATAATGAAACAATGACAAATAAATAAAACTATTGGTTACACTATTAAGACTTTGCTTTCTTGTTCTTTTTTTTTAATTAATGTTTTATGAATTGGTATTCTGTTTAATGTTTTTTGTTTTATATTTGCCAAGCATTCATTTTAAAAACCTTGACATAAAATGATGTAGGGGACTATAGGGATGGAGAAATTAAACCTCTTAAAGATATGAACCTTTTCTCTGATTGTTTCGGGCAATCATTTGAAGTGCAATCAGTGTTGCAATGATTCAATGTAATAATATAATAATAATAAATGGTGGTGTAATTATTTATCGTTTTATTATTTTTATACTGCTGAATGAAATATATGGTTGTGATATTAGTAAATGAACTTGAACTTCCAACCTGTAGAGTGGTCTGGGGTCAGTTGCATAAACATCCATTATGTTAAGACTGTGTCATAATGACACAGATAATGGATGTTTCATAAGAACTATACGAACGGAAGTTACAATCTGGATGTGTCGTTTGTGCTCTCACTCTTTTTAAACTCATAGTAAACTGACAAATGATATCCCAAAATGATGCTGATTGACAGAACAAGTTTCTTTTTAGAATACATTACAATCATTCTAGATGATGACAACTCACACACTTACAATACGAGCTGCAATTCTTTGCGTGCCTGTTAAGTCTTACGCTTAACAAAAAAATATGTGTTGGATTTATTTACAAAATACATGCACCATTTTTGCATTACACTTTTTTACTAAATCCAAATTGAAACAAATGTATGTAAAACTAACAAGAAAACCTTTGTTATAATTACATAAATGTATGAGTTCACTCAGCATTCTTTACTCTAAATAGATCTACCAAGTAATTGCAAGTTATGTTGACTTAACATTTAAGCTTATTCACATTAATAAAAGATAATTTGAGTTGGACCAACATAAAAGTTCAATTTATTTTAGAAATTGCGCTATTAAATAAAAAGTTACATTTATATTAGTGAGCTATTAAATAAAACTGGTCTTCCTCGTGCCTTAAAAAAGAGGTGGAGCTGTTTGATATGTCCCTCTCTGTTTAAGTCAAGTGGTGCTCTCTGCAGAGTCAATGCCGTCCAGCTGCACCTCTCTGGACATCTATGGGGTGGAGGGATGGAGTTGTGGGTAGGGATAGGGTGTGTTAGTTATTCTAGCTCCATCCATTAGTCCCTAATTACATCCTTTCTGGTCGTCTAACGAGGGGGAGCTAGACGTACTGATTTAGCCCATTTATTTTATTGAAAATAGCATCAAGATCTTTAACAAATGAGCCACTGCTGTTTGGATTTACCATAGCCAATCCCCTCTTGCCACCCAGTGGACATAGTACTATAAAAAGAGTGAGCTCTTCTTCAAAAGTGAGCCACTGGTGTTTGAATTCCCCAAGAGTGCTTTAACAAGTAGGTGAGTCTTAATTATCGTCATTGTAAACTTTAATTTTTTTTACACTTTTCTATAACTCTCTCTCTCTCTCTCTCTCTCTCTCTCTCTCTCTCTCTCTCTCTCTCTCTCTCTCTCTCTCTCTCTCTCAAATACACCATAGATAAATATTTGCATATACTTTTGATCTAACACTTCAATGATAATCGTGTAGCCTATATAGTATTTTTTGTAATTCTGTCTGTTTTTATTAAGTAGCCTAGTATACAGCCTTTACTTACATATAATATATATCTGTATATTGTAACAAACAAAAAAAAACCTATGTATATTCATGTTAGTCTATATTGAATGTAGGAGCTTGAATAGGCCTACTGTCTGTTCAGCATTCCAGAGACATATCGTTTTAATATATAAATTATTAGGCTACTGTTACCATTTTTAGGTTAATTTTAATTTTTTTGTAATAGAAATACAAATAGTATATGTGTATATTTTTTTGTACAGAAGGTCTACTCTACAGTAACTGCACAGGCTGCTTTGTTTTGAAGCGCGCGAGTCTCAGGATGAGGCACGTGCGACGGGACCTTCACCTGCCGCTCACAGTTTGTATTTTACTGTGCTGGAGTTCCGCAGGTACGCGTTGAATTTATCTTCCACTTTTATTTAAGATATATTTAAGATAATTAAGTTAATCCCAAAAACATTACAGACATTCGTATATTAAAATTAATAGATTTGACTAACCTATTAACTCCGCCCTAAAAGGAGCGCAACGTGTCAACAATGTGACCCCGTATATCGGAAGCGTCAATGGCGGAACGAAACTCACCATAGAGGGTCAAGGTATTAAAAAAAGAGTCACCAATATGCTTTCAAAATGACAGAGGTGGGGGACTCGAGTCACATGACTTGACTCGAGTCTGACTCGAGTCACAATTTTCAGGACTTGTGACTTGCTTGATTAAAGTACAAAAATGACTTGACTTGACTTTGACTTGAGAACAAGTTACTTGAGACTTGACTTGACTTGAAGTGGAAGACTCGACAATGACTTGAACATATAATAAACAAACAGCAATACAGTTAATTAAAATATATATTATGACGTCAGCATCAATATATCGGCATCTGTGCCTTTACGCTGCTCAATTCAAACCGCGCCAAACGGAAGTTCCGGGAGTCTCACGCATATTGATAGCGTCTCCCTGATGCCCGCAAATGAGTTAAAATCTCCCGGAATCTAGAGCGAGATACTGCGCGTATAACATACATAGCGTGCGGCGTGTGCACGGCAGAGATATGGGAAGCCAAACAAACCAAAAGTGGGACGAGACAGCGGGGCTTTACAGAGCTCGTGCCGCGCAGACATGTCATCTGCACGGTTCAATGATCCGAGCCGCGCAGCCGATTCGTCAGCGCAGCGCGGACGTGTTTCCTAGCGACACTCAATAGTCAGCGCTGTACTGACCAATTTAAAGCAACGCAAATATGCTACATACTACATGCAAATAAATGTACAATAAAGAGGAAAAGGAGTTTCCGAAGACATTTGTTGGCTATGATAAGAAAAACTACTGAATTAAAAAAAAATTGCATTTTATATTCTCATACATTTCATACATTTTATATTTTACATTTATATAAGATATAAGATATTACATTTTAGATTTCATACATTTTAGACCGTTTCAATTAAATTGAATTAGACAGATTGGATTATACATCTTAGAATCGATACATCTTAGACTCTGAACGTTTTGTGTAAACAACACAATTTTATTTTATTTTCAGATATTAATGTAGCACAGATATGCATATGATTAATATAGCAAATGTAAGATACATAATATATATGTATAAAAGTTCATCTTTTCTGTGCAAAAATAAATATGTATCGAAAAAATTTACCTCTATTTATTTTAGTAGTGTGACTTGACTTTACTTGAAACTTATCAGGACTTGACTTGACTTGCTTAGGGTGAACCCTTGACTTGACTTGACTTGCTTGATTTATCTGAACTGCGACTTGAGACTTGACTCGAGACTTGATGGTTAAGACTTGAGACTTGCTTGGACTTGACCATGTGTGACTTGTCCCCACCTCTGCAAAATGATTACTAAAATCCTTTTCTGATTTACCATGTTTTGGCTCTATTACAGTTTAGGTGCTTTAAAAAACTCTAATAGCGTCGGTGATTTTTTCCAGGTTTTGCTCAAGCCAATCAGTTCAATCTCAAAGCCAATGACCCAAACTTCGGCAACAGTGTGACGCTGGTGTCCCGAACCAGATCTGTTCCCTGTGATGTCGAGAAAGACTCCAGTCACTCCAAACAGATCATTTGTTATACAAGGTAAGCAATTTTGATTGTTCTAACTTGATTGTAGGCTAGTAATTGCATTGTTGGCGCTAAAAAGAATATATATATATATATATATATATATATATATATATATATATATATATATATATATATATATATATATATTATACTTTTACATGGTACTCTAATCTAAAGTAAATTGCATGCATGTGATTGGGCTTATAGCTTAAATAATTTTTATTTTATTTTAAATCAACTTCCCCCACTCAACATTGCTGGAAACATTTACTTGTCCTCTAGAAATTTGCATGTTCATTTTGTTACAAACCTATAGGCCTACCGTATGTGACTTCTTTTCTTCTGTGGAAGACATTTTTAGGAATATTCAATCAATAAAATTAAAATTAGACCTGTCCACATGACTTGTGTGCTATATTCCATGTCTTCCAAAATATATTCCATCTCCTGAAGCTCCCAAACATTATTCATGCAATTTGAAATTATTATTTTCATTTTTGCATGCACTTTCCTCTAATGTTATTCCAAATTATACTAGGCTATTACTTTTTTATGTATTATATAAAAATATAATTATAAAAATATTTTTAAGTTCTTTTGATTTGATTGTTTAACATGTTTATTATTGCAGACTTTGGTCTGTCATATGTGTGCATATTATAAATGAAGAAGATATGCATTAAGATATTTTAATTCTTTAAAATAGCTGTGCCGCACAATGATATGTAAAATGACGATGGCATATGTTTCTCTAAATAATCTTTATATTGTATTATATTCAGAGCTCTACCAGAAGATAACTATGAGTTTCGGGTCAGCGTTGATGGCGTGCCAATTCCTCTCAGTAACATTTGTTATGATAATCAGTGGTATTACGGGTGGTGCATGTTCTATGTAAGTGCGATGGACTTCATTGTATTGCTTACTAATACATATACTCATATCTTCTCAAAATATTACAATATATTTATAAAAACATTCACTGCTTTCACAGAGCCGAACATACTATACACCTAGCATTGAAAGTATCAGTCCACTCTCAGGTCCCCCAGGTAAGTTTTGTTAGTTTTTGTCATTACTCTGCTGCTTTGGTTTATAAAAACTTATACCTTTCACAAAAAAATAAATAATAAAATAAAAATGAAACTGAATGACCGTTAGGGACTGTGGTGACACTGCGGGGAAGAATCTTTACTGATGTGTACGGAAGCAACACGGACAAAAGCTCAAATGGCCTGAATGCAAGATTTTTAAGGTCTGGAAATATTTAATTCAACATATTTAATGGAAAAATATACCTGTATGAATGTTAAATATATTCTGTCTTGTCATAAAGTGTGTCTGAAACATGTCTAATGTGTTTTCTTTTAACAGAGCGTACATGGGAGGCATGCCTTGTGAACTTCTAAAACCCAATTCAGATGAAAAGTAAGTATGTCTAATTTAACTTGCTAATTTAAACATTAATTGTAAATGCACCCTCCATAAATACACATATATTTTTTCAGGTATGGCCTCTTTTTGGATTATGAGGGCAGTCAATGGGGATCCATGAGCTGTAAAATGACTGGAACGTATATTGGTGAGGACACGTTATTATTAAAACATTCAATAATTTTTCATTCACTAGATTTTTGTTCGATTAAATGTCATTGCCTTTGGTTTTCAGGTCATCACAACCTCAGTTACATTATCGACGGTCAATTTGGGAGGTCAGAGAAGTTTGATTTTACTGTACTAAACTTTACATAAAAAAAGTAGACAAAACACATTTTTTCTTTTTGTAGGAGTTTGCCAAACTTTGGGGTTTTCAGCATCTCAGCACTGAACAAGCTTGCCATGTTCCAGACATACGCAGGTGTGGATAACATTTATTCTTCTTAAATAATACAGCATGGAATTGCCTGCTCAAAATCTGATTTTAAAAAAAAAAAAACATGGCCGTTCTGTTTCAGAGGTGACAGGAGTTTCTCCCTCTGAGGGCAGCTTATTGGGCGGCACATTACTGACCATTCAGGGACATTACTTTGATGAGACTGACCAACCAGTCAAGGTGTTAGTAGGAGGTAACCCTTTGAAAATCTTTGTGACTAATTATAATTATCCAAATGATTATCTAAATTATTTATAAAATGATTAAATATATATATATTTTTCGAATGTATTTTTTTCCTCCTTAGGTCGTGAGTGTCAGATTCAGAAGATATCAAATGAGAGGATTGTCTGCATAACACCTGGTTATGAAAAAAACAACATGACAGTGTTTCCTGGTAAGAACGAAGTTTATCTGAAATCAGATCTTTTATGGTTATCTTATATTACTGTAACAAACTTTTCCATAGACACTGTTGGCACGACAGTGGACTTCTGCGCTCCACACGCGAGAACATTTGACGTTGACACTGTTGAAGTGTCACGACACATTATCTCAAACAAGAACATGATTCTCTTTTGTCACGTAACTGATTGTCCGTTTTCAACAGGGCATTTTAAGAGGCCATCACATAATTGACAGCAAGGAAATTCGAATTTTAACATTTTAATATTCATCTCTTTGATAATGACATAAATCTATCTAGACCAGGGGTTTCCAATTCCAGTCTTCATGCCTTCACGTTTCTTTTATCTGACGCGCTCAGTTAATGGGTGGGTAATATTCGACCATGTGTGCTGCAAAGTGCGTTCATTTTCATATTAAACATCACAACATACATTTATCATTCAGTTTAGGGCTTTTGAATTTGACAAATTAGATTAAGTGAAATGTATAATGAGTTCATATGTGGATACTATATAAATAATATAAAATAAATATTTATATGGATTTTATACACATGTATATTAAATGAAAGTATGGTAATTTATATCAAATTTATTTTAAAGAGTATATTATGGCATCAAACCTTAAACACCTCTAATATGCGTGACTTGAGTTTTGTCTGTGTTTGATGACACTGCAGGTGTTGCAGTTTAACTGATATCCTGTGCTAAGGTAGTAGGGAGCAGTGAATACTGTGTAGGGACCCTGTCAATCGGGATGCACATGAGTTCATGGTGGTCATATAAAATGAGCGGGGAGGCGCAAAGACTGGAATTGGAAACCCCTGATCTCAATTACGGGGCTGTTTGCACGACACTGTTTTCAACTAAAAATGTTAAACTTTTTAAATAGTCATTTACACGACAAGGGCGTTCAACGGGTTTCAAAGTGTAAGTTTTGGACAACGGTATCCGTGTAAATAACAAAAACGTCAATCTCTGAAAACGGTGACGTCATGCGTATCACATGTTCAATCTATAGTGTTTCATCGCCATCTAATGGCCTGGGAGCAGAACACAGCATTTTAGTCACTGATCCTTGTGAATGGGGATCACTTTGACAATGTATACGAAAAAACTCATTGTCGTGTAAACGTACCCTAAATGAATAGCTGTAGCTGGGTTTCCATTAAGACGTGAAGCGAATCTTTTTAAAATTTGCACAAAAAAAAAACAAAACAAAAAAAAGGAAACAAATGCAAATTAGGTGTGTTTCCATCAAGTTGTTCAAGCGGATGACGGTGGTATTGTTATAACCTAGTAACCAACAGTAAATGAAACCCCTACAAACATCAAGCCAAGCCATTTGACAATTTAAGGAAAAATATAAAAAGATGAAGGCTTGTGCGGTTATCTATTTTTAAATGCCTTTGAATGAAGGATTGAATAAAGGCTTTTTATATTTTTTCTTAAATTCTCTAGTCCTAAATTGATATGTTTTATGAGTTTATAACCATTCGCACTAATTCTTTTTTACACAAGTCAAAAACCATCTCAAGCAAGGGTAATTCTTTTTGCAAATTAAGGGATTTTGGGCGGGGAAATTTGCATTTCCATCACTCGTTTCTGACACGATACTTCAGCATGCAAATAAAAACAGGGTAACATAGCTTGTGATTCATTTATTGATCTGCAAAAGTTTTTTTTATTAATTTAATTAAAAATTTTGTGTAATTTAAGGTAATTTTATTTTATTTCAGGTCTCCCCTACTAATTAAAAAAATTAATTAGACATGTAAAATGTACATTTATATTACAGTACTGCCTTGATTGTATTGAGTGATGATTATGTTTGTAGGTGGCAGAGGTTTTAAAATGGAGATGTGGAACAATTCTTCTCCAAACCTTCTTGAGGACGTCCTGAAGTATAATTCCAGTAGGCCTGGATATTCCTTCCAGTGGGTGGATTCGCTGTCGTTTGTTTGGCCCAATGAAATTGATAACTTTGTGGGACGATTGAGTGGTTTCTTTGTTCCAACGGAGACCGACAACTACTATTTCCGAATCAAAGCAGACGACCGATGCCAGCTATATTTCAGCAAGACAGGTCTTCCCCAGGATAAGGTACCTGAATGACAATAAAATTATAGTTTCATAATTTTAGTAGTTATCAATGTAAGTTAATTATCTAGTTAAATGTGAGTTGGCTTTTACTCATCTCACTTGCAAAAAAAAAAAACAAAACGATTCAGTATTACTCAAAATAAATAAGAAAAGTGAAATATAATCTCAGAACATAATGACACCTGCAATAATTAAATATATTAAATTACACAAATATACTTTATGTAATTAATCTCACTTTATTAACCAAAGTCTTGCTGCTGCTGTCCTTCAATGATCCACTTCAACCATACTGATAAGCAAAAATGACTTTAGATAAAGATCAAGTTTGTTTATTTTTTTAAAACAATACTGCTAAAAAAGCAATAAAGAAACTTTCTTCTCCCGCATCCTATTTTTCTTCAATCCAAAATGGCTGAACAGCCATTGTTTGAGCCGCGCTCTCAACAGGTGTGAATTTTCTGAAGAATAAAAAAAAATATATAAATTGTGTAAAATAGCCTTTACATTACCCAAATTTTATTGTATTTTTTGTTATTAAAAAGCAAACAAGCAAGCCCAGCCCAGGTGAAAAAGACAAAAGTAAGCAATTAGGTTACACAAGTAGTTACTATTTTAGGCAGTAACACAATATTGTAATGCCTTACATTTAAAGTTACTACAGTTACAATGCCTGTCCGCACATTGACATAAAAAGGTAGTTTGTGACGTAAGAAACACCAGCCATTTAAAACGTATTTTTATTTTTATTTTTTTTTACTGGAGTTTCAAGAAGAAATTTCTCTTGAAATAAATATGTTGACTCATATTAAAAATACCATAAAGACATATAAACAACATTAAAATTAATATTGTTTAAATTTAAAAAAGTGTGATTTAATGTAAAGCAAATGTACTAAACTAAAAATACATATATTTTATACTAATTATATATTTTATGAAATAAATTCAACACACTATATTACTATTTTAAAAAAATCAAAGCCATATTTCTAACCAAGCTGGTTCCAAATTTGAAGTTGATATCACAAAAATTGAGCCTAGAGGTTTTAAAGTAACACTTCCATGGTAACACAATGTCCTTCAAAACTGGTTTACAGGAAGAATTTTGAGTATTTATGCTTTCTAGGATACCTGTTACAATTTAATACCGTATACATAATATTTTTGTAAAATGCAGTGTAACATTTTAATTTTAATATGGAATATTTGTATTAAATTCTGTGTACATTTTTTTTTTTTTTGTTATTTCAGGTTAAGATTGCATCACAGCCTTACCGAACTAGCAGTTTCTTCAGCTATAACACTCAGAGGTCAGACGTCATGCACTTAGAGAAAGGAAAACCGTAAGTAAAGGTTCCCAAATAATACATAATGATCAAAAGTCATCATAAATATATGTTCTAAATAACTCTTTTAGTCATTATTATTGTTTTATCCAATATACCCCCATCTTGGATATAAAATGATTGTCTGCACATGAAAAATCTTTCAATGTGCTACAGGTACTACATTGAGATTCTAGTGCAAGAGTATGGAGGAGCAGCATCAGTGGATGTGGCCTTTTTCAAAGAGATCAGCCCTTTCACAGTCCAGCAGACAATTGAAGCTGTTAATGAGAGACAACAGATTAACGCGTACTATAATGTAGCACCTGAAAAACAGGTAAGTGAGCTCACAGATGCGTTTTAGGGAAAGGAAGGGGCTTAGGAATTAATTTCCTGCATTGCATCTGCAGAAACTCAGTCTCAGAGAAAAGCTCCTCTACCTGCTATATGTCTTTTTTTTTTCTTTATTGTTTTAGGTGGTTCGTTTCATGGGGTGGATGCCAGTAACTCCCATTAGCGAGGTCCAGACTCTGAGAATCAGAAGTGATTGTTTCTCTCTGAGCAACTGTGAAAACACATACTACTTCCTGGCATATGGAGATCTTAAAACAGGTGCATTAGTTCACACAGCACAAGAAAATTCTCCTCATTTTTGCATTTACGCTTTTGCACTTCCTCTAGAGATGTCTTTTTGTTTGCATGTCTGTAATGTTTACTGGAGTTGCTTTGCATGTTCTAGGGCCGATCCCAGTTAGTGCATCGGCGATGGAGTTGCAGAACGCTCTGAATGATTTGTGGACAATTAAACCAGACAGCGTTACAGTCACAAAGCTAGAACTGGACAATGAGTCACTGTACAATGTGACATTCAACTCTAACAGAGGTGTTTATTTTTTACCACATTTAATTACATACTTTATATGTAGGCTATATTTTAATTCAAACATTGATTCTTATTTACGTTATCGGGTGTTTTATGTTACCGGTGATGTTGTATACCATTTAAGAGTTTGTTTTTTTTGTTGTTTTTTTTATCTCAGGTGACTTTAAGGATCTTGATTACTTGATCATGGGCTCAGATTCTAACATCACAGTTACTGAGGATGTGAAAGGCCGGGCCAGCATGGAGACGTTCACACTGCTGTGGGGTGGAGTTCCATCCATCCCTCTGGCTTTCAATGCTTCTGCAGCTGAGGTTTTTGTTTGTTTTATATTTCTTAATATTTACCATAGAATAAAATGATAGCCATTACAGTCCTGTGTACAAACAGTTTGAATGCTCTCTTGAAATTTTCCTTTTCTTTTTTTTTTTATTAAAGGTGTATTCAGCATTAGATATGATGATCAGCGCTAAATGTCCAGCAGAGATTCCGACCATGGAGAACACTAATGTGAAATTTTTCAGAGATTATGAGACCACCACCACAGGGGTGAGCAGATGATCATGTTCTACATGCAGAGGGCATGCCTACCTAATTCAAATCAAGTCAAGTTTGCCTTGAAAATAATGTATGGCATTACGTGTAGCATTATAGACATCGGTTATTTTGTTGAAAACATCACATTTTTGTCCAGTTTTTAGAGCTTTCTTCTTATCAAACAGTTTTCAGGTGATCTAAGCCGCAGAGGGGCCCGGGTCACTGATTCGGAGGCTTTCTGTGGCCGCTGGTCTCTGAAGAATCCAGAGATTCTCTTCAATGTCAATGACATTACAGCATCCGGAGCTGTCTACAACCCAATACAGCTACGAACATACAACACTGTAAGCTCCACTAAACACCTCAGTAAATCATCCTTACTAATAGATTTTTCTCAGCATATGAACTTTTCAAAGATAAAAACTGTTATCTATTTTTTTTTTGTAGCTCTGTTTAGCCTACAAAGGGCGTCTGGTGAATGAAGTGGGAATATCGTTCAGTTACACGACTGCAAATAATGTCCGGGAAGAGAACATACGAATCTCTGTGCAGTTTGACTCAACGGATGAGTACGTTTAATCTACTGAACATACAGCAATCTGATTGTCTCTACTCTAGTAACCTAGACGTTCCCATTCAGTCTGTCACGTTCAACGATACTGATGTATTGGGGTCCCTATGGAAAGCGCCACAGCCGCTGAACTGTGTAACAAGTGTCGGAGATGCAGAGACTGGCAAGCTATAGCGTTCCCTTATGGCAACTGCCCACACATAGTTGGAACCGACCCAGTGCCCCATGTAAGCCCAAGTAGAGTAGTCCTCCATACCAAAGGGATGGAAGGGACAGGGCTTACTCTGGGGATAGTCGTAGCTGCTGTTCCTCTAATGTGACATTTAACAGGGGGAAGAGTGCTTCAGATCTCAACTCCCTTTGCTTTTCAGCCAAGACCAGTCTTGTTAACGCTGGAGAAGTGTGCCCAGTCCAATGGAGAGGGAAGCTACAGAGCTTGAAGGCTGTCTTTATAAATGTTATGTTGGATTTCAAGTCTGCATATTTTGCACTGTATTGTACTCACGGGAAGAAACAGACTCAACCACATACTGTAAATGCACTCCACCTGTGGAATGTCCACGTTAACCTTGCTGGCCCCGCCATTAAGAGGGAAGTTAGAGTAGAGTAGGCAACAGAGCAGCTTCGGGCATTAAAAGGTGCCTTTCACGACTTCTTAACCTGCTCATGAACCTTCGGGAAGAAAGGCACTCTGGCGGAACGTGGCTGTGAACTTTGCGTCGCACCCAGGAACCAAACTTCCTACCGTGAGTGCTGAACTGGTTTGTCTCCAGAGGACAAAAGCCCACTTTACGATGCATGGATTGACATCCAGTCCAAAGTCAGGAACCGACAACATACAGAAACACATGGACGGAAAGAGAAACGCATGGACGGAAAGGCATCTTTATAAAGATCCTTGCCGCCCGTGGTCACTCGCTTTGGAAATCTTCTCTGAATGTTGAAGTGCAGAGGGGTGAGACACTGCAATCTCCGTGCACAGCAGGCTGGATGCAAATCACCTCTGGATGTGCCCTCACACCGGCAGAGAGATCTCCCACGACAAGCTGCTTCAATTGAATTGAAATTGAATGAGCGATCGCTGTCACAACTGCTCTGTTCTGAAGAAAAGTAAGAATGAATTGAGGAATGCCAGTCATATTTGTACCTGCATGTCCGGGTGGGCGTGATTTGGCATGCAAATCTCACTGGCCAATTTCCTTTGGCTCGTTTAGTTACCACTTGGAGGTGATTGGGCTCCCAGGTCAGACCCTAATACGCCAGTTTCAACGTAAAGCCGAACGTGACTTACTGAATGGGAACAAAATGATACCAATATCAAATACATTTTTGTTGTGAGTATAATATAAAACTGAAATTGTAATTCTCAGGTGGAACTACAAGTGTGTGGATCTCCTGAGCTCCATCCAGACAAACTACGAAGGCTCCAACTACCAACTTTTCCAGTTCAGTGTGTATGGAGTGGCAAACTCTGTGTACTTCATAGATGCTGTTCACATTGGACGTACAATCACTGCTTTGGATTCTAATGGTAAATAGGAATTGAATTTTGAATGGTGGCATGGATGTAAACATGCTGGATAATTTATATGATAATTAGGTGATCTATTGGCAAAGCTATTTTTAATTATTAAATCATTTAAAATATTTTAAAATGTAATGTTCTATTATCTCTCTCCACTTCAGTTATAATCCATAGAAGAAGACCACCGGCTCTGGCCAGTTCAGGACTTTTCTTTTCAAACATAATTGTGAGCAAACAAGCAAATGCTTCACAAGTCAGCTATGAGATCACCGCGACACCTTACAACTGTGGCTTTGGTGTCCCACTGTTTGAAATAGGCTTTCTGAAGGTAAGTTAGAAGGTATAAAATGGCTGTTTTGAAGCGCTGGATGTTGCTGATCTTTTTAATGTTATAAGTGATGGTTGGCAACAAAATTTGCTTGTCATTTGAGTTTTTCCTGCAGATTGTGTTGTTAAGTGATCCATGTTCTCAAACTTCAGTCTTCATTTATGTCCAACAGAAGATGCCAAACAGAACAGGAGACCTACTGATTCAAAGCCAAGGGAATGCCACTGTCACCATTATGCGCCCTCAGAAAGCCAGCCCCCCTCTTACAGGAACCTTTAACGTTGAGTTTTTAGGCCGGCGTGTTGAAGGTAAGCCTGTTGGCTGTGGGTTTATCTGTTACTTTGTTGTGTAGCTGCTGGAAATCATTTAGTACATTGAATTTCATGTAGTTGCACAGCAGATTCTTGATGTCGAACACTGTTAATCATGTTTCAGGCCCAAAACTAATTTAGTAGAATAGTGAACTCGACTTATTTCTACATAAACCACTATTTTTTTTATTTATTTTTTTTATGTGGTTTGCGCATTGTGTTCCCAGGCCTGGCAGTAGACATCAGTGCTGCGGACCTGCAGTACTCTCTGCAGGGGATCCCAGAGCTCGGCCAGCTGCAGGTGCAGAGATCTGGAGACTGTAGAGGCTACAGCTGGTACATACAGTGGCTCACCGTCCCTGGAAATCAGCCTCTGTTAAAGGCAAGAAAGAGTTCAGAGCGCTATTACAATAAAATGAACTGGGGTTTACAAAATGGCAAGGGAACTGATCTTTTTTTTTAAAGTGTTTGTTTAAAAAAATGTGAACAATTTATTAATAATATAACAAAGTCAAAATGGAAAGGTCTTTGCAACCCATTTTTACTTCTGCAATGTGAAATAATTAAAAGAGAAAAGTTATTCAATGAAAAAATAATATAGGGCCAGTCTTGAGTGTATGCAGTGGGTACGAATATCTTAAGGAGAACAACTGTTTAAGAAATGATTGAGCACCAAATTAGTAGTTCAGAATGATTTCTGAAGGATATGCAGCATTGGTGAGCATAAGAGACTTTGAAAAACCATACTAACCCCAACTTTATATCTTAATTGAATCAAACTTTTAATTTTATACCTGGCTGATTTAACATTTCTTGATAATTTCAACCAGATCAATGCTTCCAATGTGGTTGGTGTGAATCCTTCATTGACGTCATATGAGATTGTGCAAGGAGGCCTCTTCAAACAGAGAATTATGGGAGACTTTCTGCGCGTGCCTGCAAACAAACCACAGGTGAGTTTCTTACTCACTGCTTTTGCTGCAATAATGTTTGTCCAACATATATTGTTCATATAAATGCAGCTTCTTTTTAAAGCTCTTCCTCATGTTACCTGATGCAGTGTAGCATGCAGATTTCAATAGCGCTACATAGCGGGTCAGGTTCAGGGCCTGTCCGGTTGTTACTCTGTTTGAACATCCACTGTTCTAGGGATTTTGCATGTTGAGAGGATAATGGCTGAACTGAAGATTTTTTTAATTTATTTTCTATTTTAGTATTGTGTTGGGTTTCCTTTTAAATCCTCTCCTCTTAAATGTAAACTTTCTGGGTTTAGGATGTCTAATGACAGAAATGTATATTTATGTGCTTATCTTTAAGGTGGAAGTTTTCATCAATGGTATTCCATCACGGTGCACAGGGGACTGTGGTTTCACCTGGAGTGAGCAAAAGACCCCAACAGTGACTGGGATCTCGCCTACAGAAGGTAGAGAAGAGTAAATGATCAAGTATTACATAAAAGCTGTCATCTCCATTCATAATGGTTTATATTACTGATATAACTTCAGGATCCAGCAGTCTTGGAACAGTTCTTACCATAACTGGATCTGGTTTTGATGGTGGAAACGTCACTGTAAAGATTGGAGATGTGGAGTGCTCTGTTCTACATTTTACCAGTAAGTCAAAACACAGTACTGTCCTAAAATCAGATGAAAAGCTGCATTCAGATGGCATATCACTTTTTGTTAAAAGATTCTTTCTTTTAGGAGACAACAACTTTTTTTGTTGTGCACTTTGATCTTTACAAAAAGTTATATTACACACTGCATGAAAGGTAACATATTAAAAAAAGTATAATAGGGCACTAATAATTATACTATGCTTTTCCAAGCAGTTACTATGAATTAATACTGAGGCTTTCAAGCTTTAAAAATAATACAAAGCTCCATAAAAGTATCATAACAATGGAATACAAAGCACAAGTTTTCAGATGCCATATGATTGTTTTGTATGAGAAATCATTATTCATTCCCTCCTTTTATTTTTCACACAACACAAAAAAAAGTTTAGATAAATCATGTAAATCATGAGTAAATGGGTAAATCATGACACAGCTTTAATTTTTTAGTAATTTTTTCCTCTATGCACCATTTAAGTGAACTTCTGTTCAAATTATTTATTTGTGTTTCAGATACTTCTATAACCTGCCAGGTCGGTCCTGCAAGTGCAGGTGTACAGCCGGTCTCTCTGAGTTTCTCTGTGCTGGGAAATGCCCAATACCAATATAATAACAGCTCGTTCACACATCTGTTAGGAGTGACTTCCATAAACCCCACAACAGGAAGTATAGCAGGTACACGTAGCATTACAATTCTCTACATATGGAAGAGTGTAATATATATATGAAGAGTTCAGATGTAAAAGCCTCTAAGTGCCATTTGAAATTTTCTTCTAGAATGATAATTTTTATCAAGCTTGTATATTTAAGTTCAGTGATTTCACTTAAGTGGCAATGATAATTAATTACCTATTAATTGTTATTTAAGTGAAATTACTGAACTTAAATATACAAGTTTGATAAAAATCATCATTAAAGAAGAAAATTTCAAATGGCATTTAGAGGCTTTTGCATCTGAACTCTTCATATATATATATATATATATATATATATATATATATATAAATCAACTGCACAAGTTGATTTCAATACTGGATTTGGTGTGTCCAAAATCTGCTTACAATTACTTACAATTAGCTACTAGCATGATCTTTTTTTTTTTTTTTTTTTTTTAATGGCTTTGCAGGAGGGACGATTCTGACAGTGTCAGGCTATGGATTCAGGAATGATACTGCAGTCACCATTGGCACTCAGCCATGTAACATTATAGAAGTGGAACTTTTCCAGCTGAGATGCACAGTTCCTGCTGTAAGTAAAGAGCTTGATTTCCCATGAAGATTTCCAGAAAATAGACAAATTCTAAATGGGGTTATAAATCGTTTACATTTTGTAATAGAATATACAATGTATTATTAATAATATTGTTTTATTAGTATTATTAGTATTATCAACAGACTCCTATGGTCGAATTCACTAAACAGTTCCACAACTTCAAATATGTTGCATCCCTATGCTCCACAATCTGGCATTTGGAACAGACTAGAAAAATGGGAAATTGTCACATGCAAATTACACAAAATGTAATCCATGAGTGCATCTGGTTTAAAATAAAATAAAATGAAATGAAACTATGGAGGGGAACAAAACACAAACAATTATAGGTGGATCCTATTGCATAGAAGAGATAATATTCCACATCCAGGCACTCAGATTGATTTTCATCTTTAAAAAGCATTTACTGGGACAGGGCAATATATCTAAAACTTACATAAATATAAATATATATGCGATAGGATTTACAATTGTTTGCAGTCTTAGTGAATTTCCCCCCTTAAAGGGTAAGTTCACCCAAAATAACTAACCTTTAAATGTAAAAAAAATAAACCTTATGCTGTACAATACTGAATCCATGGAATTTTTATTCATGAATCTTGTGTATGACATCAATCAGGGGTCGGAAGGTGAACAGACAGTAACAGTGACCACGGCAGAGATGACGGCAATATCAAATGCCTCTTTCACGTATAGCAGCGCTCTGACGGCCTTAATCACATCTCTGAGCCCACAAACTACAACAGTATTTGGTAAGATATTTTTTATCAAATTTCAGGGCAGATATGTTAAACACTCCATGTATTCCCTGGGGATTGAACCCATGGCCATTAAACGTTAAAGAAGCTGGGCCCTTTTCATTAGACATTACATTAGACCCAGACCGCGACTCTGACAAGTACCCTGAATTGTTTTAGATGTTCAAATATGTTTTTCAATACATATTCATCTTGTTAAATTTGGTGCCCTATAGTTGGTCTCTCTCTTTCTATGTTTGCAAACAGTCAACAACCGATTGTGTTTTGATCTGAGATTAGAGCTGTAATCCGATACTCTGTCTGTTCCCTTGCCTTTATTCACAAGAATGGCGACGAGTAGTAAATAAGAACAGCCAAGCTTTCAGTTAATTTCATTCAAAGATTTAATCACTTCAACACACAGTACAACATGTTTCGCCCCAACAGCATGACGATACATTCTTATTTGTAGCATTTAGTTTTGCATCTTTTTTGGAATTTGATAATTCCAAATCAGTGGTTGGGAAACACTGTCTTAGATCAGCGAGGACCAAGGCTGTAAGTTTTACAATGCAATGTGAACCATGTCTTATGTTTCTTTTTTAATATAAACGTTACCGCCAAAATACATTTTTACTCAGTTTGTGATTGTACGTTTCGGACCATTAATGTAAGAAGGAAATACTGTGTTGTGATTTTGATCAGCTGCCTTTATTCCAAAAAGCCTGTAGTCACGGCTACCCTTTGAACTGCTGATAGCAACAGTAGGCTACAATTTCGAGATGTGCGTGACAAAAACTGTAGAAACTGTCAACATAAAAAGTTTCCAACCTATAATTAATGAATTCAAATTCAAATTAAACACTGGTTAGCTTCTGTTCTTAGAGAGACATGACAATGAAGGTGAAAGTCATGGGATACAAACAAGCATACAAACAAACAAACAAACAAACAAACAAACAGATAGAAGGACATTCAAGTGTCAAGTGTTTCTTTCCCACCCCATTGTTCTGATCTGCATTTTCATCCTGGTTACAGCATTAAACCCCCATATGGCTTCCAGTCCAGACAAACTTCAGCTAACAGCGCTTTCCAGTACTTTTGTACACAGTACATAATTAAACTGGCTTTAGCTGATGTCACACAATCAGAAAACCTGGTTTGTCTGCAGTGAAGGGCGATCAGTAACGTGATTTTTCTTAAAAGGACCTGTCAACAACACTGAAATCTGCTCTAAAATGGTGTTCTCACCCCTCACAATCTTACAAGAACAGTGATTAATTTTACTTTGTTTTCACTGATCTTTTTTGATAAAGGGCACAGGATTCTCACCATCTTGGGCACAAATTTTGGGGCACAGGCTAATGGCAGTTCTGTTTTGATTGGTGAAGCTGAGTGTGAATTGCTGCATTGGACCAATGAAAACATCACCTGCCTGTTACCCACACTTCCCCCAGCTGTGTACAATGTCCGTGTGAGAGTCGGAAACCAGGGTTACACCTTAACCAGGTCTCATATCACTTACTATACTCCATAACATGAGATTTCAAACTATTTAAATAATATGCTACTAATGTAGAATGAATTTTTAAATTGCATTTACAGCGACATTTAATCATAAGTGAAATTTTTAAAAGTGATTAAATGTTTTTGTGTTTATGTTTGCAGTGCTGGCCTTAATAGCACCATAAAGTATGTTCTAGATGTCACAAGTTTTTCTCCATCTCTGGGGTCTTTGTATGGCGGAACCACCATCACTATCACCGGCTCCGGGTTCAGCCCTGTCACAGCAGACAATAATGTCACTCTAGGTAAGACAAGACTACAATGGACAAAAGTATACATCAACATTCTTTAAAATATTCCCCATGTTTAAAACTACCTTGAAATACTTTGATTTAGTCTTTGATGTTTAACAGTGTATTACTCAAACCAGTCGTTTCCAGATCATTCAGTACTGTAGTCACATTGTGCGTTTTATACAGGTGACACACAATGCCGAGTGACAGCCGTTTCAGATCATCAACTTCAGTGTGTGACCCAGTCTAGAGATAAAACACACACCGTGACGAACCAAGGTTTCCACCCCGGTAATATCTCTTTACTTTTATCTCTTTTTCTGTCACGCACACAATACCTGAAAACATCAGAGACAATGAAACAATGGCTGAGACAGACTTATCAAATACACTAGAGCTGCCAGCAAAAAAACAAAATACATGATATTTCATAGCACTTATTGAGCGGATGAATTTAGACTTCACTTTAACTTGTTATAGTCCATGAAAATCTTGACATAGTTAAATAATAGCATACAGAATTTTCAATAGCATTGAATGCTAGTGAGTGCTTGCTTAATTTGACATTTTTCTTATCAATTTGACTGTCAGCTCTGTTCATCAATTTTTTTGACATTTTGAAATATATTCTAGTTTTTCCTCTCAATCAGTGCAGAATATGTGAAAATGTACACAGATTCTGATATTTAAATTCAAGGTTCCTGAAGTCATTAAAATTCTGCAATAGCAGGGATTTTTTTAATACCTGCGGAGCCCCCCTAGTCCCAATTTGTCAAAGAAATTAATTATGAGTATCTTGTGGCCTCAAGATAGTAACTCGTGGCCTCAAGATAGTAACTCGTGGCCTCAAGATTGTAACTAGTAACTCGTGGCCTCAAGATAGTATGTTGTGGTCTCAAGATAATATGTCTTGGTCTCAAATTAGTATTTCTATCCTGAGGCCACGTTTTACTACCTTGAGGCCAAGAGATAGGAGGGGGCTCTGTAAATAAATACCAGACCTGGATAAGTCATAATAATTTAAGAAATAAAAAAGTAAAGAAAAAATGGTAACACTTTAAAATAAGTTCACATTTGTTAACATTAGTATATTAGTTTATATTAATAATAACATAACAATAAATAAAGAATTTTTTACAGCATTTATTAATATTGTTCTTAGTTCATGTTAGTTCACAGTGCCTTGTTAAGTAATGTTAACAGATAAAACTTTTGAATAAAAAAATGCACTAGTACTGTAAATATTAAAATTAACATTAATAAATGCTGTAGTACTGTTTATTGTATGTAATGTTAAAAAATGAGACAATATTTTAAAGTAAAAAAACAAGCTAAAAAATATGGAAATTAATAAAGTTTTAAAACGTAATGGAGAAATGCTGGAAATTAAAATTAAATGGAAATAAATATTATAAAATATTAAAAGGTCATGAAAAAATTTGAACACTGAAATGAACAAAATATTAAAGTAATGGTAATGAAAAAGTAAAAGTAAATGATCCTGAAAAATGTATGGAGATTTGAACAGTCTATATACGTGTTCTAATTATGCTGTTCTAATTATAAAGTATTTATTTAGATAGAAATTACTTTTTTTTTAGGTGGAAACTATGAAATGATTCTAGTCTGGAAAATGTCCCTACATATTGTATATTGTCATAAAATATGCTTGCTACATGTGCTTGTTTGCCCACTTGTATAGTGTATGGTCAGGGTTACGCCTGGAGTCCCTCTGCGATAATAGCCTCAGTGGGGGACACAGTGGTTTGGCGTTGGGACGCTCCAGCTTTTGTGCCTGGTCTGAGCTACAGGGTCTTCAGTGTGTCCAGTCCCAGCAGCACAGACTATGATGGCATTGCTTTCAGCAGTGGAGACACAGGAACTGCCAAAGGTACAAAAACTACTATCAGACAAACTGTGTGTTAAACCTGCTCATTCTAATTTACATCAAGCAGACAACAACTACATAAACGGTTTGTGAGCCTTAAAACTTTTTTGAAAACCAGTCCTTTCTTAAAAAATTACATTTTGTAGTCTAATTCTTTTAAAGAGATCCTATCTAACTAGAGGAATCAAAAAACACAAATCATGAGTATTAATATTTGTAAATAATTAGATGGTGTTCATAAATATGCAAGGTAATTTATAAATATAATTTATTTGAATATAAATACTATAAATAAAATTGAATTATTTTGCCAGAAATCTTTATAGACAAGTTAAGCATTTTTTTAATCCGCCCAAGTATTGTTATTTTTATTTTTTTATTCATTTATCAGTCTAAAGTTGTTTTCCTAAACACAAATTAGTTGCCTAAAGGCACTATCTTATTTTCTGTATAGTTACTTTGCAATAATTTGTATAGTGAACTTATCTATACAAAGACATTTGAATTTAACTGAATTGAATTATTAAGTTGTGATTCTCCACAGAAAAGTATTTTCAATACATATATATATATATATATATATATTTTTTTTTTTTTACTTTTTAAGCTGTTTCTTACTTTTACTCTCAATGGCTGCCAGCTTGAATTTATTTTACATATTTTTTTTATTTTTTGCTAAATGAACATTATGCCATCTTAGGCATACATACGTCACATAGGCATAGGTACAATATATTGACTCTGAAACAGTGTATGCGGCTTTTGATTGCCCTGATCTTTGTGACATTAGAGACTGGTCTTCGGGGAAATGTGATTAAACACCCCTAATCCAGACAAGCATTTGGTTTGTGAGAGTGTCAGATTTCATGAAGAATAAACCCAAGGTCTGTAATTAACTATAATTACAACATTACACTCCAGTCATTGAGCAGAAAACAATGTATGTTGCTATATCGCTAGACAAACATAACAAATGCTTTTGCCGTAAATGTAAGTTGTTATTCCTGTAAAGTACAATGAAAGCTGGAGGTGTGACGCTAGTTTGATTAAGGATGAACAAAATGTGATCTTGTTGTGTCTGTTTTATTATTAGGGTTTTTCGCCTATCGTTTCACCTCTCCTGGAGTTTACTACTACAGCAGCGGTTACATCGACTCTGGCAACCAGAAGACGCTGCAGGGAGTAGTGACTGTTATGCCTCGGGAGAAAAGCACGGTGGGGCTTCAGGTGTTTGTGACAGGAATACAGGCCTCTATTAATATAGGTACAATGACAACCTATATTCATAAGTAATTTAACTCAACATTACATTCAGATTTTCACATTTCAGCATAAGCTGAAAGTTTGGGGTAAGAAATTGGAAGGTAAAATCGTCCTAATTGTCATTTGTTTCTCCCCAGTTGCAGGACAAATGAACTCATCTGACTCTGAGTGTATGACCACTTTAGACTGTTTTCAAGATCAGCTGGAATTGAACGAGACCTCAGATAGTCACTACTTCAGTTTTATTTCTTGTGCCAGCCCCATTGTGAACCACATTACGCCTGACCATGGTACCACACATGACATCATCAACATCAATGGATCTGGCTTTAGCAACATTAACTGTGCAAACGAGGTGAGCTTCAGTGGTCAGCTATGGCATTAACGCTGCTTTAAGGTTGTTGTTTTTTTAATACCATGCATAAAATGTCCCAAACGTCTGACAAATGTCAATACATTACACGGCAAATCATTTTTAAAATGATTTACTTATTATTTTCCACTTAAAATACATAAATAGTTAAAGAAAAAACTGCCATCACAATACATAAAAAAGTACACAAATACTTATAAAACAACAACAAATACATATGCGTTCATATACATAAAATGCACACATATAGACATACAGTACACATACATTTTTAGATGATTTACCATACAAAACATATATTTTATATACAGAAAATATACAAATAAATAAACCCATAATTCAAATGAAAATCACTTGAGATTTCAGAGTAAATGCACATGTTACCTATTAAAATTTTTTGGTATAAGACAGTAGGGGTAAAATCTTAGCCCCCCAAAAAAACTTATTCTTCAAAAAGAATAAGTAATTTTGCCAATTTTTTTTAAAAATACATCCTCTCTACCTAATCAAAATCTTGACATTTCTTTATAACAAATAATGTTGCTTCAGATATGCTTTAAATGCAGGTAAATGTAATTCTATTTTATCCTTAATTTTAAAAAGATATATTTTTCCAACTAATATATATATATATATATATATAATTACTTTTTTATCGCTTGTCTTATTTATTTTTTTGCCAACCAAAGGTCAAAGTTGGAGATCGTCCATGCAACGTTATCAACAGCACCTCCACTGAGATTAACTGCCAACTCAGTCCTGACAGCGGAGCACCAGTGGGAATCCCTTTATCCATAACTGTCAGAATCAACAACCTTGGCACCGCCATCCTTTTGATGCCGAAAGAGTATGACCGCAGATTTGTGGTTCTACCCGTGGTCGATTCTGTCTTTCCCTTGGTGGGCAGCACCACAGGCTACACACGACTCTTCATCTCTGGTTCTGGGTTCTCGGACGGCTTAGTTATGGTTGCAGGCAATCCATGCAAAGTGGTTTTCATGAACTACACCCAAGTGGTGTGCGATACTTCTCCATCTGCGGCCCGCAGGGGAAACGTCGCCGTTTACGTCAACTCCATCTCTTCCTCATGCAGTTTTGATTGCACGTTTCAATATTCCGACTCCATTGCACCGTACGTATCCGCGGTGTCCCCTAACTCGGTTACTGGAAACGCCACCACCGTTGAGGTCACTGGCAGTGGATTTGGGAACAACTCTGCTGATCTAATGGTAACTGTGGCCAACATCCTGCTGGAAGTCACAAATGTAACTGATAACAACATCACGGTTTTAGTTGGTGCGCTTCCCGCTGGCACACACGTCCTACAGGTGGTGGTCATGAGAAAAGGTCTTGCCACTGGAGACGCCACCCTGACCAGCATAGCTCAAGCCAGCGTCAACCCAACATCAGGCAGCATTGCTGGAGGAACTCCACTCTTGATCACAGGAAATGGCTTTGTGGCAGGAAATACAACCGTGAAGCTCGCTAACTCCCCCTGCAGGATTTTAGATGTGACTCCAGACACCGTGAGGTGCATGACACCTCCTCATCCAGAGGGACAGGTGCAGGTGAACATTAAGGTGTTTGATGTTGTGTATCCACCTCAACGTTTCAACTTCTCTAGGGGACAAACTCCAAACATCACCTCTGTCAGTCCTATAACAGGTACTAACATGCATTACATAAAACATACATATATATATATATATATAAAATGTGGTATTTACTATGGACTGCTGCAGTGATTACATATTTTTGTAGGCCAACCCAAAAGTTATCATTACCCTTTTTCCCTTGACAAAAAACAAATTTGATTTTTCCATTGGCTTTTGGATTATTGCATAAATTAAGGTCTATGTCCAACAAAAGTTTGGATTCTTACTCATTTTGTTCATCGTGATAATTTCACAAGAGGTACAGAGGTAACCAGAGGTAAAAAGCTAAACATAGGCTTTAAATGGTTGCGTGACTTCAATGTCACCACCATTAAGCTTCAGAATTTTCTTTTGGGTCTTTATTTAAAAAAACTAAAACATTTTTGATGAGTTTACCTGTTTGGTTTGACGATGTTTAATGTCTCAGACAACCTCTGTTGTCCCATTTAGCTACTTGTTAGCAACAGCATTAATCAAGACAAGTAAAAGCTTTTAAAAAAAATGACAAGGGTGATGTATTTTGATGATGTTGTAGAATAAAACATGAAAATATCTTGAGATTGTGTTAACCACAGACCTTATTTTAAGCATTTAATCGAAAAAACATTGTCTTCAGGATGTGCTAAAAAATTAACTCATTTTCAAATTTTGGTTGAAAATGAATTTACTCAAGTTTTGGTCTCAAAAATATACGTTATCTCTTCAACACTCTATTGAACTGTTGAATATACCAAACACTTCATAGTAATACTACAGACGTAATCCCTTCCTCGCAGGTTCGGGTGGAACAGAGATCACCGTCTCTGGCTCTGGCTTTGGCACAGATGTAGCACTCGTCTCCTTCGAGATCGGCGGTGTGGCTTGTAACGTGACATCCATCACAGATATGCAGTTGCTGTGCACTGTTGGAGAACACGCTGGAGGAACTTTCCCAGTCATTTTTCACCATCAGGTCAAAGGTCATGCCTTGACCCAGTCTGTCTTCACCTATGAGCTGTTGCTGACAGGGGTCACACCGAATGAGGGTAATCAAAAACACTTTCTCTAGGGCAAAGGATTTGTCAATATGGACAGAATATAACAAAACTGACTGGCAAAGTTTCAAACCTTGTGTAAAATTTCAGAAAACTAGGAAAATAAATTTTACAAAGAAATGTTACATGGAATGTTACATGCCGTTACATGGAAGTGTGAACTTGTGAATTGTCATTCTATAGAATATAGATATTATAAACCAAGTTAAAACTAATAACATTTAACTTTTTTAAGGTGGTATAGGTGATTGTTACTATGGATATTCATATAATGAATATCCTTTATATGAAACAAGAGGTGGGAAACGTAAACAAAGACAACAGGAAATAATGACAAGCAAAGTAAAAGAATCCATGAAATATCCATAAAAATTAATCTAAACAAACAGATGACTATAATCATGACAGTAACATTATGAATGTCTTTGCTTGCGCATTTTAACAATTTAATCAATCCTTGCACAATAAGTAAAAATTAATTTCTTTCCAAAAAACAAAACAAACAAATAAAAAATAACAAGGAAAAACACTTAATATACTTGTTGTTCATGTTAATCAAACTACACACTTCTTGGCCACATTTACCACATATACTTGGACAGGTTGCGTGATGTCCTCATCATGGAAAAAACAAAAAAAATAACTTTCAAATAAAGATGATTAAGAATTGTATTTTGTACAGTGCTACCAAGAGCATCAATCCAATCAATCAAACTTCAAATAATGATTAAAAACAAAAATAGTTGTTAATGTTAATAATTTTGCAAACTGTCAGGCCCATGAAGTTTGCGGTAATTTTAGGGACTTTTGTTTTGTCTAATTAAAACTCAGGGTCCTGACGCTGGATACCTTTACATAGTTGCTGTCATATTCACACAAAGTAACTACACAAGTACACAAAAACTACAAATTAATAAGACACTACATGATGCCTTTGCTCTGTCTTGCTGTAGGAAGTTACGCCGGAGGAGCTGTTGTTGCCATTCAAGGCTCTGGATTTGACCCAAACATCACAAGAGTCCTTATCTGTAACAGAGAGTGTAACGTGCACCTGCAGAACTCCACATCTACCCAGCTGAACTGCGAGGTCCCACCCAACAATGGCATGTGTCAGTTTAAAAGCACTGTGAATGTGTCTAGAAATGTTCATTTAGCAAAGCTCAATCCATCAAAGCAATTATATCTATGTTTGAACTCCCAGTCCAAAGATTTTCCGCAAAAGTAAAACCAGAAATGCTTTAACTGACCAGAAGTCAGTCAATGAGAGACGATGACAAATGTGACAGCTCGGAAACAAGTCACAGACGAATAAACTGAAATAAAGAGTAAGAGTCTGCCTGCTTGTATCTTAATGAATGCTTTTGTCTCTTGCAGGAAGTGAAGCAGAGCGGGCCTGCACAGTCATAGTGATGAATGGAGGTGACACCGCCAACCTCACGAACAGCTACACTTACAGATCCTCTCTGACCCCTGTGATCACCACCGTTTCACCACGCAGAGGGGGAACCGCTGGAGGCACCAGACTCACGATTACCGGTTCAGGTTTCAGGTGCAGAACAGACCGGATTTACATTGTGGCTGATTGTTCTCCAATCATGCCTGTATACAGTGTTCATTGTTTACTTCGGCATTATTGTTTCTAAATATAACATTGATGTGTTTTTTCTTTTTCTTTTCAGTTTTAGTTATTTATTTCAACCTAAACTTATTTCAGTTAGTTGACAAAGCATAATTTCTCATTTTTATTTTGTTTAAAAGGTTAGTTCACACAAAAATAAGACTTAAGTTCATCTTCTGAACTCTGAAATATTTCTGTCCCTCCATTGAAAGTCACCCAAATCTCTTGACGATAAAAGTAGACCATACAATTTGTACACTATATCTCAAATCTACTAAAGCCTATTGAGGATAAAGAAATTATGACAGAATACTTTTACTTACTTTCTCAAGTTCACTGGCTTTTGTCTCCCCCATCTCTCCTGTAGCTCAAATGTCAATGAAGTCACCGTCACAATCGCAGGGTCTGTCTGCGATGTTCAGTCAGCCAATGAATCGCAAATCATCTGTGTGACCAACTCTCAGAGCAGATCCCAAGAAACTCAAGTGCGAATCCAGCTGGGCAACAGAGGAATTGCCAGAATGGTAACGTCAAACGTGTCATAAATATATTAAATAATAACAATAATCACATGTATCTGTAATATCAATAATATAATAATGTCTGTCCACTCTCTCAGAATAATGCTACCTTCTTCTACATTGATGTATGGTCATCTCCCTATACATGGGGTGGTCTCTCCCCTCCCGAGGAGGGCATGTTTGCAGTAATCACTCCTGGCCAGACCATCCTTCTGGATACCAGCACTCCAGTTCTTAAGATGCTCCTTATCCAGGGTATGCTCTGTTTAGACAAATGCTGCCTTTATTAAACAAAGCCTTGGTACACTTACACTCACAGTTACTGACTGTGAATGTCTTTTTTCCTATTTAGGTGGGCGACTGATTTTTGATGAGGCAGATATTGAGCTGCAGGCAGAGAATATTCTGATCACAGATGGTGGAGCGCTGCAGATCGGAACAGAGCAGGCCCCCTTCCAGCACAAGGCCATAATCACACTGCATGGACACCTGCGTTCTACAGAACTTCCTGTCTATGGCACCAAGACTCTGGCTGTCAGAGAAGGGGTGTTGGATCTGCATGGTATGTAAATAAACAATACTATTATTAATATATGAGGTCAGTAAGATATTTTTTTAATTAATACTGTATTCAAGGCAAAGATGCATTAAATGCATTAAAAAAAGGATAGTAAAAGCATTTATAATGTAACAAAAGTTTTGCATCTCAAATAAAGGATGTTCTTTTGAACTTCCTATTCATAAAAGAAAAATGCAACTGTTTCCTCAACTGTTCCCAGCATTAAGAATAAAAATAATAAATGTTCCTTGAGCAACAAATCAGCATATAAAAATGTGACACTAAAGACTAGAGTAATGATGCTGAAAATGTATCTTTATTTAGAGTTTATTTAGGGTCTATACATAACCACATACATACAGTACATGTGTATGCCTTATGCTGTCGATTGATTCATTTTTTTTCTGTAATTAATCACTTAATCATGATTAATCACACCTAACATTATTTGTATATTATAGTACATCACATTGGATCTCCAAAATAATTTACAACATATTTGTTTAAGGCATCATTTTGATAAGCACTACGAATGAAGGCCAGCATCACTAATACCGGTACTTTTTTTCCCCTCAATTTTAGCCATTTGTAGCCTTTCAACATTAAAGTATAACTGAAAGTTATCAATTTTACCATTTAAAAATAACTACTTTAATTTAATTGAGCTTGAAACGATTTTCACATAAACACATTGTAAGCTAAGCTGTACCTTTAATATATCAGGGCTCAACGCTAAGGTTTTTTTTCTACTGGCCCAGTTGGGCTGGTTCAGATTTTTACCTGCCCTGGTAAAATGCACACAAAAAGTTTTTTTTTTGTTTTTTTTTTTTGTTTTTGACCCATGTAACATTGTTAAAAGTGCTTAAAATTTAAAATTTCAGTCTTCACTGCATACAGTATAAATTGAATATAGATTAATCAAAAGCTACAAAAGTTATTCAGTCAAGAGCAGTGAGTGATTTTTCTTTGTCTTTTGTTCATTGATTAATATAAATGACAGACAGCAGCAGGTTTATCAGGCTGTTGTCTCGTTAAGACCTGACGCACATGGTTCTTTACGTTCATTTAAAGGAGTAGTACACTTTTTAAAAAAAACTTTTGCTGATAATTTACTCACCCCCATGTCATCCAAGATATCCATGTCATTCTTTCTTCAGGATTTTTTTCCATATAATGTACTATACTGGTAACCAAACAGTTCAAGGTCCAAAAGACAGTTTTAGTTTCAGACCCTTTTTGATAAGGGTTTTATCAAGCGAAACGATTGCTCAAAAAAAAAAGTTTTATAAGCTCAAATGGTTACCTTGTCTGACGTGCGTTCGTGACTCTCGTGTGTTCAAACTCGTTTATCAAAATGAACAAATCTTTTTTCGTGTCATTTGGTTCATTCAACGAATGAAATGAATGGATTGTCTCGGAAAAAGATTCATTCATTTTGATGAATGAATGAATTCATTCATTTTGGTGAATTAACTTCATTCATTTTGAGTTTGAACAGGAAAGTCACAAATGTTTTGTGAAGTTTTAATATGCAGAAGTGTAAACAAGATTTGAGGGCCTGTTTTCCAGTGAATGCACTAATAAAAAATTTTACTGACCACAAAATTTTGAACGTGCAAAAATTAAATAATCAGCAAAATGCATAACCATAAACTTTGAATAGTTGTACCAATAAACATATCTACTAATTTTTTATTATTTACCTTTTTTGTCTGTAACTTGACTAAAGTAACAGAGACTTCAGAGGGTACTGCAACTGAAAGCCCACAAAGTAAAAAAAAAAACAAATGAAGCTATCCTCACAAATATAGAGATGACCTACTGTACATAACATTCCCATAAGGCTCATTTAATTCAGAAAGCCCCTTTGTGAAATTTCACTGATGCAGACACCATAGTGCGTAATCACTTCCCTGCAGTGAGAGGTTTTGTTCAGGGCTTAACTACAATCCTACTTCTCCAGGAATCCCTGTCCCTATGCCGTGGACTCGCCTTTCTCAGACTGCACGAAACGGCTCCAACACGTTGACACTGATGGATGCTGTCACCTGGAAGACTGGCGACGAAATTGTCATCGCTTCCACTGGCCATAGGTATTGATGCACCACCCAAACCTACAGCAAAATTTCAGGTTGATTTAATTGAAGCCACTGACTTGCTACAGAAACTGAACTATATCAGTGTATGAACAAGGGCAAAGGAAATGTTGCAATTGTTCTCTAAAAAATGGTCCCAAATTAATTCATTTAACTTAAAAAAATATATATAAAAAACATTTTTGCATTTTTAGATGATATCATTTGATTTGTTATTGGGGTAAAACATGAATTTTTAAACTTATTGTTTAAATTCTTCTTGCTCAAATTGTATATGATAAAATTGCTATAAAAATATGCAAATAATGATGCAAAAACATTATCAGTGCTAATGCTAATAACCAAAAATGTGTTTTGACTGAATTCACAGACACAGTCAGCGTGAGAATGAGTTGATGAGAATTGCCTCAGTTTCAGCTGACGGTAGGACCCTCACTCTGACCGAACCACTGAGATACACTCATCTGGGTGTGTCTGTCACACTGCCTGATGGGACAGTTTTTGAAGCGAGAGCAGAGGTGGGCCTTCTTACCAGAAATATCGTTGTCCGTGGATCCAACAACATGGAGTGGAACGATCAGATTGAAGCTTGTCCTGATGGATTCAACACAGGTTTGGATGTTATTTCCTCAGCTGTGGATGGAAAGACAAACAGATAAAAGACATTTTAGCAAATTATATGAATTATTTTGCTTACAGGGGAATTTGCCACCCAGACTTGTTTCCAGGGTAGGTTTGGAGAAGAAGTAGGAAGTGACCAGTTTGGTGGCTGCATCATGTTCCACGCACCACAACCAAACCAAAATTTGGCAATTGGCAGAATTGAATATGTCGAGGTAAACATTCATTTTGCTTCAAAAACATTTGTTTCAAAACTCTTGGAGACATTTAAGACCATTTTTTTTTCCAGGATATTCAATCACGTTTGTCATTTTCCTCCTTCAGCTCTTCAATGTTGGACAGGCGTTCCGTCTGGGACGCTACCCAATCCACTGGCATCTAATGGGTGATGTTAAGTATAAGTCATACGTGCGTGGATGTGGCATTCACCAGTCCTACAACCGTGCCATCACCATCCACAACACCCACAACCTGCTGGTGGAACGTAATGTCATCTACAATATCATGGGTGGAGCCTTCTTTATTGAGGATGGCATTGAGACCGGCAACATTCTACAGTACAATCTGGCGATATTTGTAAAACAGAGCACTAGTCTGCTAAATGATGATGTAACTCCAGCGGCATACTGGGTCACCAACCCTAATAACATCATTAGGCACAATGCCGCGGCAGGTGGGACACATTTTGGCTTCTGGTACCGCATGCATGATAATCCCGATGGCGCTTCTTATGATCCCAACATCTGTCAGAAGAGAGTTCCACTAGGAGAGTTCTTCAACAATACGGTGCATTCACAGGGCTGGTTTGGCTTGTGGATTTTCCAAGAGTTTTTCCCAATGCATGGTGGCAGCTGCTGGTACTCTACACCAGCGCCAGCGGTCTTCCGCCGCTTCACTTCCTGGAACAACGAGAAAGGTGCCGAGTGGGTGAACGTAGGAGCGGTTCAGTTCAGCGAGTTCCTAATGGTCAATAATGAGAAGGCAGGAGTGGAAGCCAAGAGGATCATCCAGCAGTATGTCAGCGGATGGGGACTGAATGGAGGAGCGGCCGTGGTCAACAGCACTATGGTGGGTCATGTGGATGAACTGGGGCTGGGGAGCGACTACTGCACCGCTCGTGGTGTTGTCCTGCCCCTGGATGATGGTATGAGCGTCATCAACACCAAGTTTGTGAACTTCGATCGTCCATCGTGTGCTGCTGTCGGAGTGGCAGAAATAGTTGGAACCTGCATGTTCCGCTGTGGAGGCTGGAGCGCGAGGTTCAGTGGGATCCAGTTTCATCAGTCGCCCAACAAGGCCTGGTTCAGATGGGAGCATGAGGTGGCACTAGTAGATACTGATGGGTCCCTGACAGGTATAGAAACATTAGATATTACATGATAACTTGAAAAAAATAAACTTTTATCTGTGTAACAATATCTTAATGGATATTGTTTTAGCTTTATTGGCATGGTAAAACTCAAACTTTACACTGACAAAGCATTGGTAACATTAACAATATTATATATTTTTGCAAAGGGAACGTTAGCTACAAGGTGGTACCAAGGAATAACCTGCTCGACCCGAGACACTGCTTTCCGGGAACAGAGTGGAGTGTTGGCGTCCCTGCTGCAGTGTGTGACAACACTATTGACTTCCACCGCATGGTCGTCTTCAATCCCTCACCGTATTCACTTCAAGCTAAAGATGTGACTCTTAGCAACTCATTTGGTAGGATGAAATAATCTTGACGATTGAGCCATGAAAAAAAAATGTGTAGCATACATGTTTCTGAATGTCTAGTTCTTTCTGAATGTACTTTTTTGGTTTTCAGAATGTCCTGTGAACTTTGTGTGTGAAGTTTATGAAAAATCTTAGGGGCCATTCACAAAGAACACTTTTTTCATTAAACATGAAAAAGGGCAGTAGAATTAAAAAAAATGTTAGGTCTAAAGATGCATTAGTTTCATTAGTGCTTAAGTGGCACATTTTTAGAATGTCATGCGAGCGCAATGGTAAAACACGTCTACTCTAGTGCATGTTTACATACAAAATCAATTCCCCCCAATTATATTTTTTTGTATATTACAATTATATATTTGTAAATAGTAACTACAGATTCCGCACACTAACAATGGGGAGCATTCTGAATTTGCTGGGTTGAAGTGAGCTGTGATGCTTAGAAAGTCTTACTCTCATACCTCTCTTTAGGAACATGCATGCTTCCTTTCCTTCAAAAACTTGTGACCCACTCATATGGCTGGATGGCAATGCTGCCCACCGGCCAAACTTATAACTGGAACTTTAATGGTGCTTCCCAAATCACTAGCATCTCATATGATGGAACGGTCTACGGTTTTCAGGTAAAGTGTGCACACTACACATTACTAAATAATTCAATACGCTTTCAAATGAAAATTTTTAAATTTTGTTGACATTTACTTTGTTATATTGTTGCAAACCCATTTACTGTTATTTATAATATCTGTTCGACTTACATCAGGGGTTTAACTATTTGCTGTCCAGGAGCCCTAATTATAATATGCTATTTAATATATAAAGACTTATTTATAGTATTTGAGAAAAATATGTGTATAAAACTTGTTTTAATAAAACATTTTTTTTAATATGTATATCTACATTTCTAGTAGTATCCATTCATTCAATTCTTGACAATAAATTGATTTTACATTTGTGGCTTTTAGCTTCACAACCCCTTGGACAATAAAACTATGCTTTTAATTACTGAATGTTCCATCCTATTAAGGTTGTTATTTAGCAAGTCATTTTTTTTCTCTTTCTCCATGACAGCCAGAAAATTATATAATCATGAATCACAACCTGACTCAGACACCTGACATATTCCACATTATAGATGACAGGAATGGTTCCTCCCAGCCCCTGAACCACACTGTGAATGTAAATGGGGACTGGTACTTTAACGAGTCATCCAGAAGCCTCTATTACATGGGTAAAACTACTTGTCTTTTCACCCAAGACATATATGCTTTCTTTGTTTAAAGGGATACTCCACCGTTTTTCATATTAAACTATGTTATTCCCTTAAGTACGAGTTGATACATACCTCTGCCGTCTCAGTGCGTGCAATACAGTTACTCGAGCATTGTAACTCGACCTAGGACAGTGACACAAAATAAAACGTTGCGCTTTTCTAAGCACGCTTTTACACGCTTTTCTAAGCGTGTAAAATGGATAACTATATTGTATGCTTGGGAGTAGACTACTTCACTGAGTCGAAGTGCTCCCAAGCACTTGCTGTGGTATTCCGGCATACAATATAGTTATCCACTTTACACGCTTAGAAAAGCGCAACGTTTTATTTTGTGTCACCGTCCTAGGTTGAGTTACACCACTCGTGCAATTGTATTTAAATAGGGAAAACATGGGGGTTTTTGGTCGCTTCTCTGGTTGGCCCATATTGAATGAACTGGGCTAGTTAAGTAGTTAAGTCTCGCGTGCCAGAGCGATTGAGTGCCCGGACTGAGACGAGAGAGGTATGTATCAACTCGTCTTCGTTAAGGGAATAACATAATTTTAGGGCTGCACAATTAATCGAATTTGTAATTGCGATTACAATTATGGATGCCACAATTATGTAATCCTTCAAAGGCACAATTATAAAAAGTCCACTTACATTATTCTGTGTGCTTAAAATGTGTTTTTTTTTACAGCTTATCTTAAGGGTTTTTCCCCCCATTGTTTTAATTTTAGTTAGTGTAACATTATAATTATAATTAGCATTAAAGCAACACTGTCTAACATTGTTTACTTAAAATAATGTTTCCAAAATCTTATCAGTGGTTCATCAAGTCGTAACAGGGTGAAAGGTACTTCTGCCGTCGCCTGACAGGGTCTGTTTCACTTTTACTGGCACTTTGTAACTTTGGGGTTCGGGTAGGAACCCGACCACAAAAAGAACTACAAAATTCGACTGCTTTACATCAAGCACTATATTAGTCATTATTTAGTTTTTCTTCGTTTCTGATGTCGCAATACATCATCCTTTCATGAAATCATGTAATATAATCTACCTTGTCTGTGGACATTATTCATTCTAAAGCCGGTGCTGGATAAACAGCGAGCGTGCGTGCGACGGTATAGGCTAAATTATTTACGACAGTGGCAATGGACAATTTCGTTTCCAACCAGTAGGGCGACCGAAGAGGAAAAGTTACTTGGTGTTACTTTAAACCATAGAAAAGCATTAAACGTTTTTCAGGAGTTTTCAGCCGTTTTATTTTGATATAACAATTTGCATGCAGTCACTTTGAACAATGGCATAAAGCTGTTCAAAACATCATTCAATGTAAAATCGCAATTATAATTTCAAGGCAATCATTGACAATTATGATTTTTGTCATAATCGTGCAGCCCTACATAATTTAATATGAAAAAACGGTGGAGTATCCCTTTAAAGAGGACACATACAGTATCATGCTTAAAGCTGTTCAGTACTATGCAAAAAAATTAAGATTTTGAGTTCTGTGACTACAGTGTCTGGAAGAGACCACGTGACTAGCCGGAGGAGGAGGAACAGTGTGGACCGCTCAGCTGTAGACAGATGGTTGAACTTCGGAGTATATCAGTGTTACTATCCCCGCTGTATTCAACCTATCCCTCCACCTGATCCTGTAATCAATCCTATCCCTCCATCTGGTTCTGAAAACAATCCAGCCAACTCAACTACCCACAGACCTGCAAACTTCATCTATGTGTATGTTAACACACACACGCTAAGCACTTTTTTCATATAATGATAATAATAATACTTATTATTATTATTGTGATTTTTTGTATCAATTGACCTTGCTAATAAAACATATGTTGGGTTTAGTCTCTGGTCAAATACATCGTTCTGGCGGTCAAGTTCAGAGAACAACTTCAATGTGCCACAAGACGGCTCTGATGTGATAATTCCAGCTGGTAAGCATCTCTAATGTGACAAATCTCAAGCAAAGACATAGAAAAAGCTATTTATCAATATGGTATGTTATTTCATTAAAATTTCCCATCATTTCTCGAAGGCATTTGGATGGTTGTGGATGTTGTAGTCCCCTCCCTGAACAAGCTGAAAATAGTTGGAGTTCTGGAGATTCCAGACACAAACAATGCCACCAGTAATGTCTCTCAATATAATAACATTGTTCTGAATGCCACATACATCTCCATTCAAGTAAGCACAAAACTACATTCAAATGGCATCTTTCTGCTATAGACATCTTAGGATTATTACACCAAATCAGAACCAGACTCTTCCTGTGTGCTAATTTCACATCCTTCTGTCCATACTAAAGACACTAACTCAATCTGTACATGTTCACTTGACTCAATCAGGGTGGACGTCTGATTGCTGGGTGGCCTGATGAACCCTTCAGAGGTCAGCTGCAGATCATACTGAGAGGAAGCCATTCCACACCAGACTGGCTGTTACCCTCTGGACCAAACCAAGGGTCCAAAGTTCTAGGTAAATCAACGGGAATAAAAATAAAGAAATCTCATTATTGATTGTATATGCATCAGAGAAGTTCCTCTCAATCGTTTGCCTACTTAAAAGTGTTGATTTGAGTGGAAACATTGTCTTCCAGGTGTGTTTGGATCTCTTGACCTTTATGGGATGCCACACAACGTGTATCACACTAAGCTGGCTAACACATCCCAGGCAGGAAACAGCACTCTCTCTCTACAGGAATCTGTGGACTGGAAGGTCAGAAGCTTTATAAAAACGTAGACCTTAAGATAATTATTTAACCTCCTGATGTTATTTGATGATGCCATTTAGATTTCATGCATTAGTGCTCTGAACTGTTATCGTTGTTTGAATAAAACACTTTTATTTCCTCCAGGTCGGGGAGAAGATCCTGCTGTCCACCACCAGCTATGACCCTTGGCAGACAGAAATCCGCACCATAACTGCTATCTCAGATTATGGCCGCACACTTACTCTGGATCAGCCTTTATCATTCACACACATCGGTTAGTCCCCTAGAGATTATAGATATTGCCATATACATATAAGTAATTACTACATTTTTTTAAATATAGAAATACATACATAGAAAAACATAACTTATTTTATAAAAAGGATAGTTCCGGTCCTTGATTCTAATTGGTTGAGCCGCGTTCAAAGCCATTGTAAATTAGTTAACAAACATACACCTGTGCCCGTTTTACATTGTGTTGCTTGGCAACCCAATGGAACTATTTGGAACTCCGCGTCCACGTCGTGACTAGCAACACCCTATAGCTGTTCTAAATTCACTGTAAATCACGGCTTCACGGGGCTTATTGCTTTATTAAATGTATTTGGTCACATAGGGGAGAGCTACAGTGTGCCAGCTACTTCAAGTAGTTATCAGCTTGCAGGAAATGTGGCTTTACTGACCAGGAACATCAAGATCATTGGTCAGGAGTATCCAGAAATGTACACACAGTCTTATGGAGCCAGAGTGCTGGTGGGAAGCTTCTCCAGTGGAGGAATTGATTACAGAGGTATAATCTTTAAAAATTACGCACATTGGGCCACATTAATGAAACACAATTCAGGAGAATCTCATGCAAATCCACTAATATATATTGATGCATTCAATTAGATGAGACATTTTATGTACTGTACATTTATTTACAAATGTATCTATGATTTTTACTCATGGTTGTGGTTTAATTACCTGGAAGATTGGAGAAACCTGAAAAATAGTAATGTTTTGTAGTTTTAATAAAAAAGAATCTTGTAAGCAGTCATATTCAAAGAACTTCATGTCAAAATGATATTTCAAAATGATAACATCACTTGCTAATCAGACCTTTTCAGCACAATGTAAGTAATGAAAACTTACTAAAGTTGATGATTATTTGCCTCACAGGAAAAGCCCAGATCAGAAATGTTCAGTTCTACCACACCGGGCAGGAAGGATGGAACGACCCGTCAGACCCACGTTACTCTCTGGTGTTTTATAATCTGGGAGAGGTGAGAGAAAGTCTTGATCCAGTACATGTCCATTCCAGAATATCACAAATATTCCTTTCAACTTCTTATTGTCACGATATTTTTAGGTGGTTGGTGAGTCTTACGTCAAAGGATGTGCTTTTCATGACGGCTTTGCTCCTGCTATTGGTGTTTTCGGAACTGACGGACTGAGTATCGATGATAATGTGATCCATCACACCGTTGGAGAAGGTGCAGATTCAACGGCTATTAAACACTTTTAAACCAAATATAATCATAATGAGTTGGGTAATATGATTTAGCACTTTTCTATTCTGCACTTTTTATTCCAATTTCCCAGGAATCAGAGTCTGGGGTGACAGTAATGCCATCAGGAGGAACTTGGTTACCCTGACACTGTGGCCTGGATCATACAACGGCAGAGCGGAGGAGTTTAACTCTGAATGGAATGCAGCCATTGAGGTAATCCTTAAAGAAATATTCTGTGATCAGATCCTAGTACCACAAAAAATCATTTTGACAGCACTCCAAGGTACAAAAATGGTATGGTACATGTTCAAAAAACAGTATTATTATGGTCAATCATCAAAAAATCCATTGTATTACTGGCTGATAGATTAGTACTAGATAAAGAACTGATATATTAGTGTTGATGTTGTAGGTGAGTGAGGCAACCAATGCAATTCTTCAAGGGAATATTGTTGCTGGCTATGAACGAGTGGGATTCCGAATTGATGGTGAACCATGCCCAGGTATAGAAGCCAATAATTATTTTCTAAAATAAAACTATAACACAAGAACATTTTGAATAAAACACATTTAAACAAATACATTAATTTATAGAAGTGAATTTAGACATCGCAATATTATAATGTACAGTTTTTTTTAAAGATTAACTTTATTACTAATTTATTCATGTATTCCAACAATATGTCAAAAGGATCTCCAAATTCAGTGGCTCAATGGAGTCAGAATGAGGCACATGGCGGTCTGTACGGACTCTACATGAATAAAGATGGACTTTCTGGTTGCTCTCAAATCCAGGGGTTCACTGTCTGGAGGAGCTTTGATTTTGGCATATATGTTCAAGTAGGATAAATGATCTGCAAACTTCCTACTATAATTACAGTACAAAGCCAAGTGTTTTATTGGTCAGATAAATTGTTCATTTCTAGTTATACAGATGCACTGTACTGTTCTGGTGATCATTCCTGTTTTCTTCTCCTCACTTCAGGTATCGATGAATGTGTTAGTTTCTAACGTGAGCCTGATTGATAATGGAATGGGTATCATGTCTCTCATCTACAGTCCTCCCTCGCTCAGCCACACATACTCTGACAAAATAGTCCGTGTACAGGTAAGGATGCACTATATTTCTCTTCGGTCAAAACTAAAGGCCAATTTAGACAGTAACAGACACCTTGTCGGGTCAGTGTTTCCCCTTTGGCATATGTCGGCTCTCATTTCTGCCTATTGAACATTTTTGAATTGGCATTTATTGGTCTTGGAAAGTTTGTGATGTTACATACTTTAATCTGGTGACTGTCAGCATTGGTTGACATCTCTCAGTGCAGTGTTAATTGGCCTTAAAAGAATAAAGGACTTTTACCCTGTTCATTTTTTAATAATTTTCTTCAAAAAATCATCTCTACAGGGTGCCCTGATTGTGGGCAGCAGCCCTAACTTCAACTGTTTTGACAGTCTGTCCACAACTATGACCTATGTTATGCTCAGCAAGAGCCACAGGGCCCCTCGCCCCCCCAATGGTACAATGCATATTAAAGAATCATCTATGCACTACTGAATAAATGTATTTAAATTATTTATCCATTTTCCGTACTTACTCTAATCTCATTTTCTCTGTGCAACAGGTGGAAGGTCTGGAATTTCCTGGCCAACATTTGAATCTTACCACAATAATGCACCACAAAAGCCTCACACTGGACTGATAAGCTACAATGCCATAGCTGGTCTAATGACTGTCTCTGGTGAGTCACATTGCTTCAAAATGTCCCTCTTCAGTTTAAAACTTTCATAATACAAACAAAGAGCATCTATTTACACTGTTTCTATTTACAGACACAACTTTTGTTGGGTTCAAGAATGTGTGCTCGAAGGAGACAAATTACATGTTCATGACCAACCCAGGAAATGAGGATCTACAACATCCAATCAGTGTTGAGAGGATAGCCATGATAAACAGCACAGAGGACGCTCTGGCATACATTCATCGGCCTGATCTGGGGTAAATCAAAAGCTTAGGTTACACACCGTTAATTAAGGATGTGCGAGATGGTCCACTAAATTGTATTAAACATTCTACATCTGAAACGGAAAACTAAATAATTTAATTTTAAATGAACGAGTGGAGTGCCCTCTGGTGGACCATCAGGGCACTCCAGCTGGTGATCGTGACAGATATTCATATGCAGACTTTTTTGACTAACTTCTCTGGAGTTGGTAGACTAGTCCGTTTAAATACTTCTACATTAATGAAGTTAGTCGTGGTGTGCATCTCTACTGTTAATAAACTATTACTCCCGAAAAAAAATTCTGAAACATTATAAGGATGACAACGATGACAATGTTGGGATGACCAAAATGACTGACTGATTTTTTTTTTTTTCACTCTTATATCTCAGCAAGGTGAACCCATCAGATTGTGTGGACATGGACTGTGATGCTAAGAAGAAGACGATGTTGAAGGATCTGGATGGCAGTTTCCTGGGTGCAGTTGGAGCAGTGGTGCCCCAGTCCGAGTACGAGTGGAACGGGGATCGCCGACACGGACTGGGCGATTACCGCATCCCCAAAGTCATGCTCACCTCTCTCAACGGCAGCCGGATACCTGTGAATCAAATCGCTCCTTACAAAGGTACAGTATTTACAGTGATCTAAGAGAGAGAACTTATAATGATGGAGCTGCTTTTAACGTTTGACGTGTCTGTTTTACCTGTGCAGGAGTGATCAGAGACACCTGTACGTACATGAACACCTGGCAGAGCTACAAGTGCTTTGGGCTCAACTATAGGATGCTGGTCATTGAAAGTTTGGATGCAGACACAGAAACCAGGCGTCTTTCACCTGTAGCCATCCTGGGGGACAAATATGTGGATTTGGTGAATGGTATGACTCTTATCCACCATCTTATACCGCCCCCTTTCTGCTTATATAAAATAGGATTTTATATAAGCAGAAAAGGTTTCATTGTGTATTGTTGAATTTTAATCTTACTGTAAATATCTTGTTGTTCCAGGCCCACAAGACCACGGCTGGTGCGCCGGCTACACGTGTCAGAAGCGAGTGTCTCTCTTCCACGCCATTGTGGCCACTAATAAATCCTTTGACATCTTTTTCACCAGCACAACACCACAGAAGCTGAGACTTATGTTACTGAATGCTGGACCTACAGAGGTTAGTTAGATGGATTATGACAATAGACTATACTGACCTATTAGCATCTTTTGGTGATACAATATTTTGAATGATAAAAGGCATTTTAGGATTTTATTATTAGGTATTATTCTGCATTATGTTATTAAAAATATATTATTTTATTTCCATTTTGTCTTCTAATTTATTTTAACTTTGTAACTTTGTGTATCTTTTAAATATTAAAAATAAATTGACTGATGGATCAATATCAATCAATTAATTGTATTGATTGAAACATACATAATATATACACACATAATATAATTATCTATAATTATATATATAATAATAACATAATGTATTCATTATAAACAGATGTTGTGTAAAATAATATAGTAATTAAAAAATAGAATTAATTAGTTTATTAATTTATAAATGTTACTATGTATGTTTTTTACATTTTTGTCAATATGTTTATTATTTAAAAGCAACACAACAAGATCCAGAAAATTTGAACTCGTTGGAAATGAATCCTAAAATAAATAAATAACCACATTATGGTCAAAATATATCCAACACTGCATCAAAATAAATGTGAACGCAAACATGGAATTTTTTCGAAATATATTTATTTTATATATATATATATATATATATATATATATATATATATATGAAGAGTTCAGATGCAAAAGCCTCTAAATGCCATTTGAAATTTTCTTCTTTAATGATGATTTTTATCAAACTTGTATATTTAAGTTCAGTAATTTCACTTAAATAACAATTAATAGGTAATTATCATTGCCATTTAAGTGAAATTACTGAACTTAAATATACAAGTTTGATAAAAATCGTCATTAAAGAAGAAAATTTCAAATGGCATTTAGAGGCTTTTGCATCTGAACTCTTCATATATATATACACACAGTGGGTACGGAAAGTATTCAGACCCCCTTAAATTGTTCTCTCTTTGTTATATTGCAGCCATTTGCTAAAATCATTTAAGTTAATTTTTCCCTCATTATTGTACACACAGCACCCCATATTGACAGAAAAACACAGAACTGTTGATATTTTTGCACATTTATTAAAAAAGAAAAACTAAAATATCACATGGTCCTAAGTATTCAGACCCTTTGCTCAGTATTTAGTAGAAGCACCCTTTCGATCTAATACAGCCATGAGTCTTTTTGGGAAAGATGCAACAAGTTTTTCACATCTGGATTTGGGTATACTCTGCCATTCCTCCTTGCAGATCCTCTCCAGTTCTGTCAGGTTGGATGGTAAACGTTGGTGGACAGCCACGGAGTTGTTGTGAAGCCACTTATTTTAGCGGTGTGCTTAGGGTCATTGTCTTGTTGGAAGGTGAACCTTCAGCCCAGTCTGAGGTCCATAGCACTCTGGAAAAGGTTTTCGTCCAGGATATCCCTGTACTTGGCCGCATTGATTCATCTTTCCCTCGATTGTAACCAGTCATCCTGTCCCTGCAGCTGAAAAACTGCAGTGGATTGCTGCAGTGATGGTTGACTTACTACAACTTTCTCCCATCTCCCGACTGCATCTCTGGAGCTCAGCCACAGTGATCTTTGGGTTCTTCTTTACCTCTCTCACCAAGGCTCTTCTCCCCCAATAGCTCAGTTTGGCTGGACGGCCAGCTCTAGGAAGGGTTCTGGTCGTCCCAAACATCTTCCATTTAAGGATTATGGAGGCCACTGTGCTCTTAGGAACCTTAAGTGCAGCAGAAACCTTTTGTAAAAGTTTTTTGTAACCTTTTGCCTTGCCACAATTCTGTCTCTGAGCTCTTCAGGCAGTTCCTTTGACCTCATGATTCTCATTTGCTCTGACATGCACTGTGAGCTGTAAGGTCTTATATAGACAGGTGTGTGGCTTTCCTAATCAAGTCCAATCAGTATAAACAAACACACAGCTGGACTCAAATGAAGGGATAGAACCATCTCAATGATGATCAGAAGAAATAGACAGCACCTGAGTTAAATATATGAGTGTCACAGCAAAGGGTCTGAATACTTAGGACCATTTGATATTTCAGTTTTTCTTTTTTAATAAATGTGCAAAAATGTCAACAATTCTGTGTTTTTCTGTCAAGATGGTATGCTGTGTGTACAATAATGAGGGAAAAAATGAAAGATGGGATGCTGTGTGTCCAATAATGAGGGGAAAAATGAACTTAAATGATTTTAGAGAATGGCTGCAAAATAACAAAGAGTGAAAAATGTAAGGGGGTCTGAATAGTTTTCCGTACACACTGTATGTGTGTGTATGTGTGAGTATGTGCGTGTGTGTATCGGTAATTATTTAATGTTTTTTTTTTTTTTTTTCATGTTTCATTTAATTTTTTGTTTTAACTTTTTCAGTAGAAACTTAACTACAGTAATATTCTGTTGTTCTCAGGCTGTCAGGGTTGCTGTATTTTACTCAAACCCTCAGCGGCTGGATGTGTACGTTAACAATACTTTGGTTGGTCCAACAAATGCTGATTGGAATGCTGATAAAACTGACTACACTCTGCGTGAGCCAACTTATACAGGTAGAGTACAAACACAATGATGCACAAAATGCAGGCCAGCAGACCATTTTTGTGAAAAAACACATCACAATTGTTACTTTGATTCCTCTCTGTGCTCCTCAGGGCAATACGTTCCTAGTTTCAACTCCAGTCACGGCTCCAACTTCTTTGACCAGGACTACAAAATGCTGAACATACTTCTTCGAGGCTCAGAGCCGGTCCAAATCCGCACCTCCCCGGTTTTGTTCCTGGCCTTTAACCTCCCAGCCATGACTGAGGCGGAGTTCTTCGGGACAAAACTGATCAACAATCTAGCTTTACTCCTGAAAATACCGGCGAACAAGATTCGAATTACCAACATCGTCCGCGAGGGTACTAATGCGAGACGGAGGCGCTCGACAGGACTGACGGTGCAGGTGGAGATCAGGGAGCCCCCTGTTCAGACATCATCCACCAACAGCACCACTGGTGAGAGCAAGAATTATATTAATGACAAATACAACATTTAGATCACAATACAATGTCTTAATATTTATAAACCATCTGCAGAAGACCAACAGTTTGCGGCCCTGAAGAACATTGCTGACGATCTGGGCCGCGCTGCTGTCTCAGGCAATCTGAGTCAGTCCATCGGCTTCAATGTGTCATCCCTGGGCATCATCCCTCCTCCACCCTCTTCCAGTGACTCCACCTGGAACGATGTAAGATGCTAATCAATCACATGACCAAACTCACTAATATTTTAAAATGTTAAGATGATCCCAGCATCTGGGAATTTTAATTGCAAGATTATACAACAAAGCTGATATTTCAATCAATATCCTGGGTTCAATACAAATTAAAGCGAAAAATCCGGGCTACTGTGAAGCACTTACAATGGCAGTGAATGCAAGTTTGTACACTGTTTTTAAAATACCTCATGTCTGAAAGCTCATAACATTACGAAAATAATGAACTTAAATTTTTGACCGGTACCACCTGAAACTCTGACCTTTACCACCTGACTGCTGCAGATTAATTTTGTCTTGTTGACGTAGAAATCCATAAATCCAAGTCAGAGAGCATGAACAGCTCTGGTTAGACGGTCACGGGTTGCCATCTCGTAATGACAGTTACGATGGCATGAGAGCAGCATAAGCTCATTGTTTTGGTTCAGGAGGAACTATAAACTATAACATTGAGGACCGAGTTTCGACACCCCTGCTGTACAGTAAAGCACACAACTTGCTTTTCCTTATTTGAGCTGTAACGGTCTCTCTCTCAGGTGGCCACTCAGGAGGTGACCCGTGAAGACCAGCAGGTGGAGACGGTCAAGACGGTATCTTCTCTGAGGGTGGCGATACAGCCAGTGGCCGGATCGTCCCCCGGACCCCTCAGCGTGCAGCCCAGCATCATGGCTCTGGATGCAGCGGTAAGATTTCATAAAGGATTTTTGATGTAATTATTACTTGTTGTTTGCCCTCTTCCCACCCTCTACACTCCCACTTTTCCACAGCTTTATACACCCATTTGTTTAGTCTTTTTTAGATGTTAGGTGTGAACAACCAGTGCTAACACTAGGGGGTTTTATGAGCCTTTAATTAAGAACTTATGAATTATTGGTGTAACGCTACCTAGGTGATTGATTACTATGAAACCACACCTGGTATCGAATAAGCAGGGCATCTTTTTTTGTGCATCTGTTTCCAGGGTGACTGTGTGTCCGTGGGTGTGACGAGTCTGACCATCTCAGCTGTACTCAAAGATGCTAACGGGAATCCAACAGAGGGGCTTTACGGAAACACCACCATCCCGTTCAGTGGCTGCTGGGCCAATTACACTGACTTAGCCATCTTCACAAGTGGTGGGTCGTCTCTATTAGCCTTTATGATTTGATTTTTTTTTTTTTTTTTAAATGTCATTTGTTATTTTAAGCATTTACGATAATTTCTCTCTCTGTACCTCTTCTAAAGGTAATAACTTGAAGTTGGCCTTTAATCTAAATGAATGGAAAGCTGAGTCCAGATCTTTTACGCTCAAATCACCTACAACGCCATCTTCTGTGGTCATCCCTATTGGCAATGGTTTCCCCAGCGTCTCGTCACCATCTGTGTATCTGCTCATATTGTTGAGTGGTTTACTCCTGCTCAGGGGACTCTAGAACCAATGAAGTGCACTCTTATACAGGGGACTCTAGAACCAAAGAAGAAGTGCACTCGTATACAAATGATATATATGACCTTCAAATATATCACAAATATATCAAATATAAAATGATTTAAATCTTTTTCTATTACTTTACTTTGGAATATTACACATTTATATGCTTTCTTATATACTCAATAAATTCAAATTCTAGTATACTGCTTTTGTCTGCATTCAATTCTTGAACATATAGACGCCAAACATTTCCATTTAAACATTTTTTTATCTTATTTAGTGCACAATAACCTTTCATCTATGGCATTATTTGGATGCACACAGACATCAAGAAACAGCATATGAATCTCAACAATGGTGACACTCAAACAAAATATCCAGATAATCAGATGAACTCATGAGCTACAAAAAAATCTAAATACTGCCATTGATTTCATACAAAACAGAAATAAAATAAAGTAAATCTGGTCATTAATAAGTGAAGCTGATAAAGCTGTTTGAGTTGTTTACTCATCCTCTGCTGAGATCTTCACAGGTTTAATGTGCTGCTATGCATGCAAGTTTTGTTTTGATTAAATCTAAATTAATTGACTTTCTTCAACATGAAATATGTACTTTGTACCAAGTTTTATAAAAATCGTTTTCATAGACATAGAAAATATTGGTTAGGGTAAGTTATTTATTTTTCATTGGTTCAGGTTATAAATGTGAATATAGCTGTGAACCATTACCCTAATTTTTTTTTTTAATTGGATGAATGAAAATATTTTTTCAGTGAACATAAAATAGAATGCTTTTTCATGAGTACCTTTACTAGAATTTATCGTGTTCTAATTTATCATGTATTTATTGTGGTAATCTTTGACTAACTTCTTGTAGAATTTGTAGGCCTAATGGATAATCTGTTAAGGGTGTTTTCCCCCTCTAGAGATATATATTACAACTGCATGTTGTAGCTATTTTTCTGCTATTTTTTCATAACAAATGCACGATAAAATGAAGAAATAAGTCTTAACATGGCCTAAGGATTGTAATGAGGAGCCATCAATGGTCTTACCTTAATTATGTCCTTATTGTAAAAAAATGATATAGTTAAACAATTACAAGAACTATGTTACTTTTTCATTCAGCCAAGAATCAAGAGCTTTATGGATCTTGAATTATTGTCTGAATAACACGTTTCACCGCTAGAGGGAGGTAAAGTCCAGGCTACTCAATCCTGACACTGACACCTGCAGAACAAACCAAGGGGGAAAATAACACAATCTGTCAATCACAGTCACGATTTTTCATTTTTTTTTTTTCTTTGTTTCTCATAGTCTACTCAGCAGTTAGATCCATATTTATGTTATGCGATACTGCCTACTTTGGCTCTGATTATAAAAAACTTAGCCTATCAATCAATAAAATATACCTTTCTTAGACACGTTTTACTGTTAAAATCAAGCATGTTAAATTACAGGGACATGAGGGAGGACAGTAGGCTAATATCTTAAAGCTGGGTAGTATAGAGTAGAAGTCTTGTTTGGATTGAGTGGGAGCTAATAATGTCATGACGGTACTTAAGGAGGCTGTTCTTCAGAGGGAGCTGCTCAGTCTGCGCTCCTCCACACACACATGTGATGTGTTCCTGTTTTTCCCCTAGCAGGTCCTTCTTTTTTCTTGTGCATTTACAAGATGTGTGCTTGTGGAGTGTCTGGGATATTTTTGACTTTTACTTTTCTTTTGCATTTTCTGTGTGTTCACTCAATGAATCCCGTGTTTCTAAACGCATCCAAAGGGATGAAAGTGTCCAGGTCTGCGCCTGCTGATGGACACAGAAGAGCCAAGCACGGCAAAAGTTTATTGTCAGCATCACTGTTATCTGGAGCCATACAGTCACAACGGGGGATGAAGGATGCAATTGAACCTCATGATTACATGATCTCCATCTACAAGACCTTTTCCGCGGCTGAAAAACTGGGACTGAACGCGAGTTTTTTCCGCTCGTCAAAAGCCGCAAACACTATAACGAGTTTTGTGGACGAGGGCCAAGGTTAGTTATTTGATTTGTTTAATCTGACCTATAGGCCTAACTTTAGGTTTCATAAATGTCTTTTTTTTTTTTTTTTTTTTTTTTTTCAAATTTGTTTGCCCATTTTCAATGAGTGTCAGAATGAAAACAGCAGGTGCGTTTAAGATAAAATCTCCCAGAGAAAATGCGGTTATTTCGCTATTAGATTTTGGCGATAAAGTGGCAAAGAAAAAATAATAATCCTCCTGAATGTTAAATAACTGAAAAAAAAAAAATGAGTAATTGTACTAAAATATGTTTGTTTAGTAGGTAGGTTTGATAACTTTGGCTTTAAAATATGATAGAAATTCCATTATCATTCTTTTCTTTTTTCCTTGACAGAATAAAAACATTCGTTTTACATTCTAAAAATTGTCATATTAACAAATCAGTAAGAAAGTCAGGAACGCTGTAAAAAATAATATTTTCATGATTTGTAATCACAACATTTTTTTCTTTTGTCAAATCAACTTAAATAATATATGTAGTTCAGATAACATAATATTTTGAGTTTATGATGCTTAAATCAATCTCCTTCATTGTAGTAACTCACTTTTTCCAGTTCAATGAACTTAAAATTTTTACAGCAACCAGGTTAGCCTACTTCATTTTTTAAAGTTAAACCAACAATATTTTTTTACAGTGAGTAATTTGTCTTTATTTATGATGTGTCAAAATAAGTAATAGCTAGCAGCATATATATATATATATATATATATATATATATATATATATATATATATATATATATATATATATATATATATATATATATATATATATATATTATATATATATATATATTTAAATGAATATATTCCTAATTATTTTATTAAATGTGCAGTTACATTGTAATTACTCAAATAAGTATGAGTAATATTAATCAACTTATTTAAATGTACTTACTGTAGAGTTATGTTTAGGGTTAATAACTTGTAATAATGCATAATTTACTATTATTACTAGCATGTAGTAATATGTAACTACTTCACCTTAAAATAAAATGTTACTCTACCTTATCTAAAACTCCAAGTAATAACAATAATAATAATTAAAATGTAACTTCATTTTTAATCTAACTTTTACAACTTTTTATTATATTAAAAAATGAAATCTCAGCTTAATTGGTTGAAAATGTGTTCCTCATCTGCATTCACACTTTTTCCTCTCTAACTAACATTGTAAATAAATGTACAGCCACTGTATGTGTGCTCTTTTATTCCAGATGACCTTTTGAACTCCCCACTGTGGAGACAGAAATACTTATTCGATGTGTCAACCCTTTCTGAAAACGTGGAGCTCTTGGGTGCTGAACTGAGGATATACACTAAGATCTCCGGGATGTTCCGAGCATCAGAGACGGGCCCAGTGGAGATACAACTGCTCTCCTGTCAGTCCCACACTGTGCTTGACTCCAAAACCTTGGATCTGGAGGATGCGCATAAACCAAAATGGGAGGTTTTCGACGTATGGGAGACTTTTAAGGAGCGTCAGCACCACTCTCACGGGACCCGCTTCTGTTTGGAGCTCAAGGCGACGCTAGATAATCCTGAGAGGGAAATCGACTTGCAATATCTTGGATTTCACAGACATGGCCGCCCGCAACTAAAGAAAGCCATACTGGTCGTTTTCACAAGGTCAAAAAAGAGACAAAGCATTTTTTATGAAAAGAGGGAGAAGATTAAACTGTGGGGTCTGAACAGTCCTGGGAAGGAAAAAGGACCTCACTTGAAATCCCGACGGAGTAGACGGACAACTCTACCCAGCCGCCATGGCAAGAGGCACGGCAAAAAGTCCAAATCTAGGTGTGGCAAAAAGCATTTGCAGGTGAATTTCAGGGAGTTGGGTTGGGACGACTGGATCATTGCTCCATTAGACTATGAGGCGTATCACTGTGAGGGCATGTGTGACTTCCCCCTCCGCTCTCACCTGGAGCCAACCAATCACGCCATCATACAAACTCTAATGAACTCCATGAACCCCAGCAACATGCCGCCCAGCTGTTGCGTCCCCTCCAAACTCAGTCCCATCAGCATCCTGTACATCGACGCTGGGAATAACGTCGTATACAAACAGTACGAAGATATGGTGGTGGAGTCTTGCGGCTGCAGGTGATGGTGCGGTTCAAACTTATGATTGTAAATAAATCAGTTGTGTGAATAAGTGTCGGACTTGCTCATGTGTCTTCAACACTACGGTAAGCCTTAGCTGAGATTACAGTACTGTAATCACAGCTGTTGGCTAACGCTGGAATAATCTGGAATTATGACTTTGGACTGGAATACAGGAAGAACAAAAAACAAATCTTTCACATTTTTACTGGTTATTCTGCTACTGTACATTACTAGTTCCACTTTACTGGACATTTTATATTTTACATTCACTGTAAAAAAATAATCCTGTAAAAAAAGGTACACTGTAAAAAATAATCCTGTAAAAAATGGTAAACTACTGGCAGCTGTGGTTGCCAGCATCATACCGTAACTATACGGTGTGTTACTGTTTTTGTGTTAGAGCATATAGCTGTTAAATTAAAGTTTTATACTGTAGATGACAATACGGTATTTACCAGTTAATTTCAAAAACAGTAACACACCGTATTTTTACAGTATGATGCTGGCAACCATAGCTGCCAGTAATTTACCGTTTTTTTTTTACAGGATTATTTTTTACAATGTTGTTTTTGTGTACAAGATTACTTACTGCTTTACATAGCTGTATTTTATGGATTGAAATGTTATTAAATGATTTTTTTAAGAATTGTACAGGTACTAATTTTAATTTAAGTTATTTTCTCTTAAACATCAATCATTTATTCAGTAATACGTTTTCACACATCTAATAAGCTATTGTAGTTATTGTATCTGTCTACCTCATTGTGCAAATTATGTTACCATGTAAATGTATACCTTTGAGGGATTAACATCATAAAAGGGTCTGTAAATATTTCATAAAAGATGTGAACCACGTTATTCCTCCAATAAAATACCAAGAAATTAGATATATTTCTTAAACATTTGTTCTTGAATAATGGCTTTTTTGTTATTGCTTTTCTGCACAAGTAACTAACAATTAATATGAAAATGGGAAAGTGGAAGGGGGGTGAGTTTGGAGAACACCTGACAATAGATCAGACACTATTCCTCCATACAAAATCCAGATCCTTCAAATTCCCAGCTCCATCCTGGTGCACATCCTGGTTTTCTCAGGGACTGGGACGGCCATGACAAAAGCTTCATTTTGTTCTTAGTGACACATGTTTGTTTTGGATCGTTGTCCTGATGGAAGATCCAAACATGGGCCATTATAAGATTTCTAGCAGAGGCTGTCAAGTTTAGATTTTTTTTTTTTTTATCTGTTGGGATTTGCTAGAATCCATGATGCCATGAATCTGAAAAAGATGTCCAGGACCTCCAGCAAAAAATAGGCCCACAACATTAAAGGTTGTATCAGTGATTGTGGGTGACGTCACTTCTGTTTGTGTTTGAAGTGAGATCCCAAAAAAAACCAAGTTAGCTCACCCATCCCTCGCATTTCGTGCATTATGAAAAAAAAAAAAAAACGATAATGCACACGCATTTCTTAAAGTGACAAAAACACTATTTTCAGATTGACGTCTACCTCAATGATGGCTCATTCTGTGAACTGTAAAATGTGAACTTGGCTGCTTTGGATTGCAAAGTATAATGATGTATATAAAATCTGCAGTCGAGCCATGTCATATCATACAGCTAGTTTTGCTGGTGCTTCACTGGAAGCAGCTGTATGATTAGAAGTTCCAGAATCAGTCATATACGTAGCTACAGATCTAACATTATGGGGAAAACTAACTCATGGTAACAACAGCTCTCTGGAATAATATTATAACAGCTAATTATTACTATTATTCGGCTAAAGTTAGTCCTGAACGTAGGCTAGTGTTATTGCTAATAGCAGGCTACAATGTTATGGCTACACATCAAAGTAGACGCAACTCACACACTAAATCCCTACAATCTGATATTCGCTAGAGCTATCCAAGTTTAGTCGAGCTTCACTCGTATTTTTTTAAAGAATTACATTTTTTACACACAGTTCACATTCAAAAAGTCAGCACTAGAAGCTACTCACCTGTCCAGAAGAAACACTGCAACCTCGGCATCCAATTTAAAAATGTTAAATTCTTTAAGTTCTCTCTACCGTTCAAATGCCTTCCCGATTATTATTAGTTTCTTTGACAAAAAAGACGGGATTCCCTCGCCCCAATCCTCCTTCTCTTCTTGGGGATTGTCTCTTCCATGTTAAATGTACAGTATCTGATCCGTTGATAGCAGATAGACGCTGGCTATTCTTCAGCTCCGAATTCGCGTGCAGGCGCCGAGCACAAGCGCAAAAACAAACAACACCCGTCCCTGTTGGTGATTGGTTAGAACAATGTTTATTTTGATTTTGAGTGGTGGTTGTACCCATTTGTTTTTGTGTGCAGATCTCAGAGCCTAGGCTGCCTAAAGAGACGCGTTTTTTGACAGCCTGCTTATGGGGCGGCCGGGCAGCTAGCGGATCGTTAGGAAAGATTCGATGAATGTGATCATTTTTGTTTGGGCCTGAAATCACTGATACAACCTTAAAAGATACAGCAATCTACTTAAATGGTTAGTTCATCCAAAAATGAAAATTAAGTCATTAATTCCTCACCCCCATAACCCTGTAAGACCTTCATTCATCTTTGGAACCCAAATGAAGATATTTTTGATTAAATAGCCCCTATTGACTGTTCATATTGTGTGGAATATAGCTCTAAGGAAATGAAAACATCCTGCAAAGATTTATATCTGAAAGTGCACCATATACAAAGTTATTGTCTTTCAAAGGTGAGAGTCGACTCTGAGTCTATGAAATGAATTGTTTTTGAAACAAGTCATTAGTTGTTACATCGTGACAGAGAGGTCGTTGGTCGGGCCCAGTTACTGCGCGCGCAGATGGAAGTGTAAACTTGAAGTCTACACATTCAAATACTTCATCATAGCATCATGTCGAGAAGACGCTGTGTTCTACAATGCAAAGACAGTTCAGCCACTTTGTGTTCATTTACCAGGGACGAGCATGTGAAGAATCGGTGGTTAGAGTTCATATTTGCAACGATACCACAACAGTATAGCCCGATTGTGTTCTCATTTTAATGACGAATCGTTCAAAAAAATAAATGAATTCAAATGTGGATTTGCAAGCGGTTGTTCGTGAAGGAGGGCTCAGTAACTTACTTACCCAGTGTATATGGATCAGCTTCCTCCTATGAATCACAACCTGTAAGTATTATTAATAATTGTTGCTTTTATGGGTTTTGAACAGTTTTGTAGCGTCGGGCGCGAGGAGGGAAGGCGCAATAAGTGTGTGTGCGCGCGTGTGTGTGTGTAAGTTACGCTCAGCGCAGCTTCTAGGTCTCCAATGTCAATTTTTTTTTAAATATGTGAAATGTTTGTCGCTGTTATTGGAGTTGTCATAAAGAATAGAGCGTCTTGTAGTACTGCAGTGCTTTATCAATATGTTGTCATTTGGGAGTCGGTGAGCAAATCAGTTAAAAAATAAATGCATATTATAAGACAAATAAAGTGTTTTTTATCCTTGCATGCATGTTAAACTGATTTTGGGAACTTCTAAAACAAAAATAGGAACATTTCAAATGCTATGATAGGGGCTCTTTAAATTTGAGAGGTGGATCACTGCTACATAGGCTGCCTAAGGGATTGAAACTTGACGGCCCAGAAAGTCATTTAAGAAAATGTTTAAATATTCCATGTGACTACAGTGGCACAACTATAAGTTTATCAAGCGACGAGAATACTTTTTGTGAGGAAATAAAACAAAAATAACAACTTTATTCGACTATTCCTTTTCTTTCTTCTGGGCCTGAGACGAGAGTTCAAGAGATTTACACGACGCATGTGCGAGAATTGCGATCTTATTCTACAACTTCTTGTTCAGTTCTCACGCATGCTTCTCTCTTCTCAGACTTCTTCTAAAACTTCTTAATTGCCCTGATGGTGGAAATGAGAATTTTTAATGCTTTAACAAATGATGCTATTTTAAAATGACGTTTGAATGGTGTGAATATATAAAATTGAATGTGAATATATATATTTGAATATATAAAATTGAATAAAATTGAATATTACCTCCAATGAAAGAATGAATTTAGAATTAATTGTGCTACAGTGGTGGAAAGTAACTAATTACAAATACTTTCGTTACAGTACTTAAGTAAATTTTTTTATTTTTCTACTTTCTTGAGTATAATTAAATTGTGGTACTTTTACTCTTACTTGAGTAAAATAAAAATAAAGTAGGCCTATTCAACTTCGCTACATTTATATTTCATAAAAAGTACAAAGTACTTTGACAAAGGTGCCGACCTATTTTTTACAGTCTATGGTGCCGACGGAGCAACAGCGCAAGCTGACATTTGACAGACACTTTTCAAAACCACTGCGAGCCCTGCGCTTCAGCCAATAACAGACATATCTAAAGCACTTTAGCCAATAACAGACAGGTCTGACTCGGTTGCAAAACCAATCAAAACCTCCAGTTCGGCTGGGGGGCGGGGCGTTTAAACCGCGCTTTGACATTCAATCAATGGCGCTCGTGGTTGAATCAGTAGCGCTAACGTTTAAATTTTTCAGTGAATGTAAGTGAGTATTCTGCTCTTATTTAATTATGGCAACTACTGAAATGGGTCACACCATTGATAATACCAGAGCACTGAGCAGTTGAAGTAAATAGCTCGGCTCATAACATGGACTCGGTTTGCAGGACGGAGCAAGAATGTAAGTGTCTAAAATACATGCATACAGTTCAATTAATGGTAAAGCTCTCCCTGTTTAACAATACATGTAAGCTAGATATACGAAGCAAACTTTGTACAAAGCTGAAAAAACAGTGAAATAAGATCGCATGATTAATCTGGACGCGTGTAGTTCGTTCCTATAGCAACAGTGGGCTCCCAGCACATTTTTTTTTACTGGGAATTTTTTATTCATACTGGTTTATTGTTTTTCATACCTTTTTTTATCGGACCTCTCAATTAACCTTCTTTGCTTTCAATTATGAATGATTCAAATCAAAACATTCAAATGACCTTACCTACACTTAATTTTCAAAATCAGTAATAAAAAATTGCTCTTGACAACAGAGGAAGCTAGTAGTCTATATGTGGAGCACTTTTATCATTGATGGATGCACTTTTTTTGG